GTGGGTTAAGCCGCTGCCTTCGGCTCGGGTCGTGGTCTCAGGGTCCTGGGATCGAGTCCCGCATCGGGCTCTCTGCTCAGCAGGGAGCCTGCTTCCCTCTCTCTCTCTCTGCCTGACTCTCCGTCTACTTGTGATATCTCTCTGTCAAATAAATAAATAAAATCTTAAAAAAAAAAAATAATAGGGTTGCGAAGAATTGAGACAGGAGTGGTGCTCTTTTTGCTACGATAGATAGAAATTTAGAGGTTTGCGGTAGTGGAGACCGCCTGTGATTGGTGGGGACTCCCCTCTGGAAATCCTGATGAACTCTGAGCTCTCATCTTTCTAGGGGTATGGACGGCATTCCCCCCGGAGGGCTCCTGGCAGCGTCCTGGGTGGGGGTCAGGGTTGCTGTCCTGTGTCTGGAAGGCATGGGGGGGTGCAGTGGATGGTTCCGGCCCCGGGTCCCGGCTTGGACACTTACTCCCCGTGCAAACCGGAGCAAGAGTTCCTGAGCCCCTTCATGCTGTCCGTCCTTCTGTGTCATCCGGAGAGGGGGAATGCTACGCCCTCGTAAAGAAGGGACAGACACGTTCCGAGGGATTCTTCATGAACGTCTGTTGTCGCTACTGCTGACGTGTCAGGTCTGCTCTGCTTTCCACTGTCCTGCCCTCAGGACGACCTGCGGAAGGAGGACTTCAGTAGCATGGGCGCCCAGCTGCTGTACAAGATGATCAAGTCCAAGACCGAGTACCCGTTGCACAAGGCGATCAGAGTAGAGAGAGAGGATGTGGTCTTCCTGTATCTAATCGAGATGGACTCACAGGTACTGTCGTGCTTTTCCCCAAACCGAACCTGCTTGTTTTTCTTTAAAATGTACCTCACTCCTCCAGACCTTCACTGGCATGGTCTCTTATGTACCTTGTCTGTGCAGTCTGAGCTTTTCCTCTGATGCTCCTGAAAACCCTTCCAGCCTTGGCCTGTTGGCCGTTTCCAACATGGCTTCCACGTGTGTAGGTCATTGCTGGAGCAGTACCTGACTTCCAGGTGCCAAAACCTGCTTCAGTTTTCTTTTGCTGCTGTAAGAAATTGCCACAAACCTAGGGGCTGAAATCAGCGCGGACGGGTCATCTTGCAGCGTTTTTGGTTGGGAGTCCAGGGCGGGCCCATCTACGTTTCGGGAGGCAGCAGGGTGGGGTCCTTCCTGGAGGCTGGCGGAGAGAATCCCTTTCCCGATGGGTCGGCGCGGTGGCAGAGTTTACTTCCTTGTGGTTACAGGACAAGTGTCCGCATTTTCTTGCTGGTTCTCAGCGGGGGCTCTTCTGGGCCTCCGGAAGCTACCACATTGCTCCCTCTTCTGGCCGGGATGGTGCATCAAGTCCTCGCGTCCTGTCTCTCTGACCTGCTCTTCTGCTTCCCTCTGTCCCTTCTAAGGACACGTGTGACCAGCTGGGTCCCTCCTGGATAACCCAGGATGCATTCCCTCAAGGTCCTTAACCTTAATGACATCTGCAAAGTCTCTTTTGTTGGGGATTATGGCACAGGCTCCAGGGACTAGGACAGCGACATCTTCAGGGGCTATCACTCTGCTGACCCAGTGAAGAAATGCATTGCTCCTGACAGAGGGGAGCATAGCGTGTTTGTCCTGGGTGTCTGGTGTCCAGGGAGTCATTACGCTGTGTGGGGAATTTGATACTAAGCCACAGTCTTTTATGAAAATGTTAGCTGTTCGCTGTCGGGCTGTGACCCTCAGCCCTGGCCTTTGTGCTCCCATAGCAGTGTGTCCATTTCTGTTTTGGTCCTGTACTGTCTTCCATGGTGTTTGTGTCTGCTCTGGGATCCCCGTTAATTCTTTGTTCCCTGGGAGGCTTGTGCCTGAGAGAAGTTCGTGAATTTATTGGGACTTGGAGAGTATACAGTGTTAGAGCACTAAATTTGGTATTTATATAAAAAGATGGTATGTTAGAGTCCAACTGGGAGAGATTAAAATCAGTTGTATTCGCTACTGGCTGGGTGCTAATTTACAAATTTGTGTGTGCAGCTCCCTGGAAAGCTGAACGAAGTGGACCATAACGGAGACCTGGCTCTAGATCTCGCCCTGTCACGACGACTGGAGAGTATCGCCACCACGCTGGTTAACCACAAGGCTGACGTGGACATGCTCGACAGGAACGGCTGGAGCTTGTTGCATAAAGGAATCCAGAGGGGTAGGAAGAAGCGGTATACCTTGTCTTCTTCTCTGCGAGCAATTTTATTTTCATTTGGGTAATTCTCGAAGATGCTCTGACCCTTGGCACACACTGAAAAGCCTTTTCCGGCTGCACATGATGAGAATCTGTGGTCGGCGGGTAGGTGGACCCAGGGCCCGTGCCGTTCTTAGGCTCTTGTGGGGTCAGCAGTGCCCCTGGAGGAAGGGCCAGGGAGAGGGCACCTCCAGAAGGACGTTGAAGCTGTACGCCATGGACGTGCATCACTCTCTTGAGGACTTGTGGCAGGAGGACTTTACTTGTATCAGGGACTGTGAGAGGGAAAGGATCAAAACCACGCACTTCTAGACATGCTCTTGGCTTCAGATTTTCAGTGGACGGGTTAGGCTTCTGTCCTGGCAGAGTGATGCGGCTTCATTTTGTTCTCGGAAGGTTCTGGAATTGTAGCTGTATTGGGAGTATGTTGTTCATAGTGGGAAGGATATGGAAGTGATAGAATTAAGGTCAAAACATTTTCATCTTGATGCTACAAGGGAAAAAAGTATTAGTCTTTTTTGTTTTATTTTTCCCATGGCCTTATTGATTCTTAAGTCCCAAACGGGTCCTGCTTGCGTCTACTTCGCAGTAGTCGTATCTGACAGGGTGAGGAGTGGTCTGGAGGCAGCGTTCCAGCACGGAGGGACGGCTCTCCCGACTGCCAGAAGCTTTGACTTGTGGATGACCTGAGTGAAGTACTTGGCCACGGCCACTCTTCTGTTTACGTGCGGACGGCAGAGGCAGAGCGCACTGATCTCTGCACATCCGAGCCCTGTGCACTCCCCCACTGCGGTCATGCGACCATCATGACTGCGCTCTGGTACCATGCTCTTTTTGTGCCGTTACACCGTCGTTCTTACGTTTGCTGTCGCCATTCATACGCGTGTTCTGTTGCTCACAAGTTGCTCCTGGATGGTGGAATGTAGTCACTTCACATACGGGCCTGTGGCAGCTGTGGCTTTGCTCTTTTTGGGCAAAGGTTTTAGTAAAAATATCCCTCAGAGCCATGTGTCAATGTTAAGCTTCTTGGCTGGCGGAGAGGAAAATGTTGCTCATCAGCGGGAAGGAGCTCCTCGGAGAGGATGTCAGCACTGAGAGCAGGCGTGTTTCCCGGGTGGCGCTCCGCACTGTGTGCAGCTGTTGGGCACTTGGCGCACCGGGCACATGTCCGGTGGGGAAGGTTCCCACCACATGGGGAATTATTTTTCCCATAATGTGTGGTGTCTGAGATGTTTGTTTTGGAAACAAATACACTTGTTACTAAAAAAAAAAAAAAAAATCCCAGAATTCTATTTCTTTTCTCTTAGGGAGTTAAATTCTTATGTGTGTTGAGAAAGCATCTTTGACGAGTTATTAAATATTTTGGTGATTGCTTAGTTACGAGAGTTGCCAAGAACTGGCGATGCCTTTCTGATGCTTGTTTTCAGGCGCTTTAATCTTCCTCTCTGAATTGGTCCGTTGCCTGAGAGCCTGCATGCGCCAGCGTGGCTAGCATCGTCCTGATGCTGCCAGCGTGGAGAGCGGGGCTCGGCATGGTGGGCCGAACGCTGGCACCGGAGCTTGGGTGGGCTGGGGTTCGTATCCGGACTCGTGCGCCTGCTCAGGGGCCTCTGACCCGTCACTCAGTCGCCACTGGGTCTCCTCTCCCTCTTGCGCAGAGTGGGGATCCTTGTCGTTTTCCAGTGTCGGTAGCCCGTGCGGCACGGTGACTGCCGGGTGGTGGGGGCAGCCCTTGGCCGCTGAGCCACCGTCAGCTCCAGTCCCCATAGGGCTCTTTCCCTCTTCCTTCTGTAGCCTGCACCGTCAGGCTGTGGACCTTCCGAAATGACTTCATTGAGTAATGTACTTCATTTTAACTGTTGCCCTTACTCGAAGTTCATTGTCATTTGAGCAAAGATCTCTGTTTTGAGAGATGTGGGCCTGGCTCTGGGTGCCCACCGGAATCTGTGCCGGTCAGTTCCGTGAAGAATGACACGGGCAGCTGGTGTCTGTGGGCGAGTCCGTGGGAGGCAGACAGGTGGCCGGAGGCGAGAAGGTGACTCCTCGCTGTTCAGGTGCAGCTGGTGTGCAGCGGTGACCTCGCAGTAATCTGACCTCTCAGTAATCGGCGCTGTAGTTTTGCTCACCGCTCGTGGTCTGTTCACAGACGGCGCCACCGCCTAGGGCGGCACAGGGCCGGCTGTATTCGTGGCGAACGTCACTGGGTTCCCTGAACACAGCCGTGCTCCGGAAGCTGCACGAAAGGAAGAGCTACGTGTGGAGTTTAGGTTTGATGGTGCTGCTGTTAGGGATACGCTGATGTGCACAAGTCATGTTGGTGAGGCCTCGTGCACCTGCTGTGCCACCGGATGAGGACGAGAGAGTGACCGACCTCCAAGTACCGGATAGTCTCGCTGTGATTGTTGTTGGTTTTTTCTTTTTTTAAGATTGTATTTACTTATTTGACAGAGAGAGAGAGTGAGAGAGGGAGCACAAGCAGGGGAGTGGGAGAGGGAGAAGCAGGCTCCCACCGAGCAGGGAGCCTGACGCGGGGCTCGATACCAGGACCTGGGGCCATGACCTGAGCCCAAGGCAGACGCTTAACGACTAAGCCCCCCAGGTGTCCCCTGTTGTAATTGGTTTTGGTGGAAATCTCCATAAGATGTGTTACAAGTTTTCTTCCTGACAGGAACTTTATAAATGGTGTTTTTGGTATTTTTCATTCTTTCCCTTTGCTCTGCTCTTTGATGGCCATCGTCTTTTCCCTCTAGACTATGCACCCTCGGACTTTCCTATAATGGAAAACGTCCCCAGTTTTCAGTATCCAGGAACTCCTAGATAGCTTCTTGTGTGGGGTACGTGCGTTTAGGTGCATATTATGTATAAGTAAGAAGAAAGTCTTTAGCTCTTGATAGTCAAGTAAGTCTAATCTAAAAGCTGTAAGTCTTTTAAGAGGGCTTAGGACAGACCGTTCCGTTTCATTGTCCCTCTGCCATCCCCGTGCAGCCAGTGGTTGGGTGTCCTCGACCCTCGCTTCTGTGGGCTGTCTCGCCTGGTCGACCTGCTTTTGTTCAGTGTGTCCAGGTTTTTCCGCACGCTGTCTTGTTTCAGGGTAACTGTGTTTCTCTCTTAGTCTGGAGTGTGTGCTGAGCTTGAAGGCGTGAAACCCCAGCCCTTCCCCTGGCATTCACACCTCGTCTTCTCAACTTGAGGCCCTTTGTCCCAGCAATCCCGAGTTTTCTTTCCAAATGGAAGTGGCTTTCTTTGGGATATTGTATTCTGTTGCTAATGTTTGTACATATTCTCTCTCAGACGGAGTCTCTGGGGTGCTGGTTTGTACTGCTTTGTGTACGTGCGTATGAATAGCAAAGGCCCCCCCAGCACGGCCTCCAACCCGCACGTTACCGTCGCGCTCAGAGTGCTGCCGTCGGCCTGTGCGCAGCAGTCTGAGTTTTGGTCCTTGGCTCGTGATGTCGGTAAAGATTGCTCTTTCCCCCAGACCCCGGGAAAAAACTGGGGGCTAAAGAAGGGGCTGGTTAGAGAAATCTTAAGTTGCCTGAAGTCATAATTGATAGAATCAGAGCCAGTCTGTTGAAGTGGGACCTGGTAGCCTTGACCGGTCAATTCGTTTTCTTCCCAGACGTTCCCCTGGTGCCTGTTTTACACAAGATGGTGCAGGCACAAAGTTAGATCAGACGCAGATTAATCAGCAGCTGATTGGCCTGTGGCTGCCTGCGTACCTCCATGCCAGGGCTGACATTCTCTGGCAAGATGGTCCCTTGGAAGAAAGTACAGAGCCCGTGTCAGGCTCCATGCTCAGTAGGGAGTTTCCTTGAGGATTCTGTCTCTCCCTCTCCTGCTGCCCCGTCCCCTGCTCGCACACGTGTGTGCGTGCGCGCTCTCTCTCAAATAAATAAATACAATCTTTTAAAAAATGAGCACAGGAATACAGATAACACTTGAGAACTTTGCCACTCTTGAGACCCTAAGCCTTATTCTACATGTTGAGACTGCACAGTATAGTTGAAAATTAGTGATATTGCAAGATAGAGAAGAAAACTTGGCACAAGTGACTTTGAAAAGAGAAAACTGTCATCTGGAGGTTGGGATTCAAAGGAGTGTACGTCTGTCTCCAGCACTCACAGAATCAGGAACAGATGAGCGTGTCTGGATGCAGAGACGAAAACAGATCAGCCGAGCAAAGGACACCGGCGTCTGTGATCTGTGTAGCTGAGCGGTTCTGCAGCACCTTTGGCCGCTGGGCATCCACCCCCAGACTCCGCACGTGTGGCATAGGAAGTCCACTGTCACGGTGGGCGCTCTGCATTCGGGGGCGCTGCCCGCTGAAGAAGGGTGTGATTTGCAGGAAATTTATCCTGTAGACCTTGGTGAAGTAGGGACAGCATCCACAGAAAGTGTCCCTGCATCCTGCTGGGACAACTTAGCCAAGTCCTGTGTCACACCCACTAGTTACACCTCTGCCTGACAGGTTCAGGCAGAGGCAGGGGAAGGATGTTTGCTCTGGAGGACGTCCCTGCAGTGAGCTCCTCCGTGCTCCCTGGAGGTCCCCTCCCGCTGGGCAGAGTGCCTCGAAGCCAGCGAGCATCCTGCCTTTGTAACTGGGTGGTTTCTTTGTTCACAGTTCAGGAGCTTAGGGTGCTTTGCTGCCCTGGCCTTCTTGTCTTTCCTTTTTTTTTCTTTAGGATTTTATTTATTTGAGTGAGAGAGAGAAGCACAGGTGGGGTGGGGCGGGGGTGGCTAGAGGGAGAGGCTGACTGGGCCCTGAGCTGGGAGCCCCATGTGCTATGTCTAGTGAGTGCTTTTGCATGCTTTGAGTTGTAAATGGAACCAAATCCAAGGAAGATTGAATTTTAAGTGATCTTAGAGCAAATTTAATTGTTCAGTCCCTGTCAACCTCCAGGTTAACTTGACAGGCGTACTTTAACTGCTTTTCCACAAATATTTTTGACTTGAAATCGTCAGATTGCTCGGTTCCAAGTTTAGCCGCGCATTTGCAGAACTGTGTACCTTTAGTACCGCCATGTAAACTTAATTCTTGGTAGTTTCCATGTTTCCTCGCACAGAGCACCGTGAATAGACAGCACTTTAAGCTGCCAGAGTTACTGGATCTTATGTCCCTTAATCAGAATTAGTTTGGTGTCTGTACGCGGTCCCAGGCAGACTCTTGCACCTGCAAATGCTCCAAGACCTAGGGCAGTGGAGGGGACTTAGGAGGAAGCTTTGTTTTGACAGCTACTTAGTTTACCTTGTGGAGTTTTTGTAGAGTGATGTATACAGAGTCTTGGTTCAGACACTTAGATGGAAACTTCTCGTCGAGACCGTCATGTCTGTGCATAGTAGGTAGCGAACCTGTCAGGGCCATCCTCCGGTCAGGAACCTGGGTGTGAGTGCAGAGGATTGGTGGTAGGAGTGGACCGTGGTCAGGAAATGAGAGGGGCATGGGTTGTGCTGGGGAGGAATCTCGAAGCTGTTCTTGAGAGCTGATGGCGAGGGAGGCCTGTCAACACAGAAGCCTGCTGTGCTTGGGTAGTACCCTGGAGTCAAGGGGCAGGGCAGAGGACAGCAGTGAATCAGAATTGAATGAAGCCTTTGGAGTTCAAGGTTGTGACTTCCCGATCTTGATGACAGGTTTACACTTAGAGGTGTCCCAGAGGTTCTGCCAAGAACCGTTGCCCGTTGTCCCTTCTCTTTGTCTGCAGTTTTTCTGACTTTCTGAGGACCAGAATAGGCCGATAGGTCTTGTCATGGGTGACCATTGTCTCTGTTGTTTGTTTTCCAGGAGATCTCTTCGCTGCCACCTTCCTCATTAAGAATGGGGCTCTTGTCAATGCTGCTACGTTGGGTGCCCAGGAGACACCGTTGCACCTCGTGGCATCGTGCAGTGCAAAGAAACACTCAGCAGCTGCAATGTCTGAGATGGCCCAGATCGCAGAGTCCCTTCTGCAGGCCGGTGCCAACCCCAACATGCAGGACAGCAAGGGCAGGTAAGCGCGGCGTCCACAGCGGTGTTTTATGGGGGCACACAACGGCATACAACTACACAGCTAGCAGTCAGGCTCGCTGTTCAGTCTGCTTTATTGGACCGATGAGAGGCACGACTAACCCAGAGGTGCTTGGGGAAATATTTCCATGCTCGGAGCTGAGGTCCATGGACTTGTAAGCAATTTGTGTCTTGTTCGGTGGCTCACCGGTCCAGCTCCTCCAAGGGCACTTCGTCCTAGCGTCCTCATCAGAGCTGGCAGGGTACTGTGAGGGGGCGGCGTGCCCCGTCTGAAGGCGGTCTGTGGTATTTCCATGCGGTCTGGGCATGGGGAAGTCCTCTGGGTTAGACCCGGTTCTCGCTGAGGGTAAGGACGCCGGCTCCCGTCAACTGACAGCAGTTGTCCTGCCCAGAAGTGCCTTGTGGAGGATCCCCTGTGGTTCTGAGTCTACGGAAGGCTGCCTCCCACTGGGGCAGCCGTGTGGGAGGACAGAAGGGACCTCCAGCAAGTGGGCCCCACTCTCTGTAGTCACGACTCAGTATTTTATACCTTGGAAGAGCCTCTCACAAACGGAGGACGGAGCTCCATGCAGTTGTCGGAGTGGGAGATAGCTGTGTGTGGAGGGACCCCGCAGCGAAGACTGATGGGTCTCTGGGACCCCACTGACGTGTGATGGTTACTTTATTTCCCCAAGTGATTGCTTCCTTTTCCTCTTCTGTTGACTCTGACTTCCTCCAGCTGCAGCACCCGCTGGTGGCGTGTGCCTCTGAGATGGGTGCTGGTGGGGGGCGGGGGGGCTTCAGGGCCCGCGAGGGCTGAATAAAGGCCGTGAAGGGTAGTCAGAAGCGCCTCCTTCAGTCCCTGCCTGTTGGCACGCGGTGTCTGAGCATAACCCAGAGTTACAGGAAGAAAAACATTCGCTTGCGGACTCGCGGAGAGTAGGTGGGGAGAATACACACTCACGTAGAGACTGCTGTTTCTGAACGCGAGTAGTTACTCAGTGAGGTCAGCCGTTCACTGGAGGGAACCTTACAGATCTCCCTTCTATGGGTTCCTGTCCTCTTGGCCCCTGGCTAGATGGAGCCCTAGAAGCAACTCCATTTTCATTCTTGGAGACTCGGTTGTGCTTTTGGACAGCTGTTTTCCAGGGCACAGAGAGCCGCTGTTGCAGAAATGCGGGGTTCTCATGGGTCGTTCTGAGCCGCGCCTGTTCTGCGCTGACCCCGCTTCTCTCTCGTCCCCAGGACGCCCCTGCACGTGTGCATCACGGCCAGGAATGAGCACGTCTTCAGCCAGCTGCTGCAGTGCGAGCGGTACGTGCGGGGAGCGGCAGAAGAGCAGCGGGGAGGGCGGGATGACGCATGAAAAATCATTCTTGTACAATGTCTTCCAGTGTTACGAAGTTTAGTAAGTAAGAGCCAGACAAACAGTGGTCATTCAGAGTGTGCAGAAAGGGAAGGTGAGGCTGTGGCCGGTCCGGGTCTGCTGCGGACCGCGTGAGCCGTTCACGTGGCTTCCTCACTTCAGGCTGGATCTGGAGCTGAAGGACCACGAGGGCAGCACTGCCCTGTGGCTCGCCGTGCAGTACGTCACCATGTCCCCCGACCACTCCGTGAACCCCTTCGAAGACCTCCCGGTGGTGAACGGGACCTCCTTTGATGAAAACAGCTTCGCGGCCCGACTCATCCAGCGCGGCAGCAACACCAACGCCCCAGACACTGTCACAGGTGACACGGGGGTGCCCCCACGCTGGGGCCCAGGAAACACCACGTCCGTGTTTGTACCTAAAAGTCAGAAACCAAACGGCGTGGTCTTATGAGAGATCATCTGCGCTTTTCACTGAAGTAACAGCCTGAGTTATTTTTTTTGACATCAGGCTTCTAGCAGTTTAGCGGGACTCTGGTCTGTGAGGCAAAAACACTCCGTTTACTGGGTACAGGGGGGCGTCTTTTCAGGGCTCCAGAGCTGCTTTTACGCGCTTAAAAACCATATCCCTCAGGATTTTGGTTAAATTAAAACCGAGAAGTTTGTGAAAGTTGTATTAGTTTTAAAAAATAACAAACCGTTCTATGTTTAAGATGACTTTTTTTTTTTTCTAATGAATAATGATGTTTAAAACAAAATTAGGCAGAAGAGTGACTGGTTTCTGGTGTCTGCATCTGTAGTCAGCGTTTTGAGACAAGTTGTTTCGGTGAGCGCGTGGGAAGGAAACGCACCCTCACGTGCTGACGTAGCCGGAGGAGGGCGGCGCGCTTGGAGCCCTCTCGGGGCCGGTGGGTGCGCTCCCTGGGGTCTGCAGCGAGCAGAGCGCCGGGGCGGTAGCTGAAAGTCCGTCGCAGCGTGGGGCCTGGAAGCGTGACCACCAGCTGCTCTACTCTGCGATGCCGGAACCCGCGGCCCGTCTGCCTGGGAATGGCTCCGCTCTAGACGTGGTTTGGTCACATTGTGACTTGGTCATTCGGAAAGTGCTGGTTCGCAGAGTTACGGCGTCTTCAAACGAGTGTGTATCTCAGAATGATGTGTCTAGTGTCACCGCTGATCACATCAGAGGAGACTGTTGTCTTCCGGTATCGCTAAGCGGTCAGACCTGCAGTTTTCGATTAAAGTTTCCCAAATTCTGATACTCACTTGAAAGATCCACGTTTTATCATTCGGCACAAATACTGCCAGTTGTCGTTAGAGAGAGGCTCGCATTTGTACTCCTTCTCGGGAGTGTCTGTCGGCTGCTCGGTCTGGGGGGCCGCAGCCTGAGTCCGGCCCGCTGCGCCGCAGCTGTGTGTTTGCGCGCTGCTCGCTTCCTCACTTCTCCTCTTTCATGTGAGTGTGTGTTTATCTTGTGCTTCTCTGCTCAGACTTTCACTGCTTTCTGAATGAATATCCTTTTATTAGACTGTCCCCCTTTCAAAGGAAATGTCACACGGTTCTGAAAGGACAGAGACTTGCTGAAATTTAAGAAATTTAGTAATTTCTACTGCTTTATCAAGAACCCGCCCCTTTCTTGGCTGGTGCATGGTGGTCAAGAGCAGTGCGTGAACTGCGGTTTCGTGCCGGGGCCACTGTCGCTCACGCTCAGGCCTCAGCGTGACCTGCTGGCCATACCGGTGAGCACAGGCACAAGTGAACATCCAGTGGTGGTGTTACGGGGACAATTTTGACATCACGGGCCCCCGAAAGACTCAGGACCCCCCAGGAATCCAGCGACCACACTTGCAAAGCCAGTGTTTTAAGGTGGATACTTCCTTGATCTGACTTAGTGAGATGTGCGGATATTTTAGTAAGGGTTCCTTTGTGATGGGTGTTGCTATGTGTGAAGCGTGGGTGGGCGCCACTGATGGGGGGGGTGGGTCCAGAAAAGGGGGGTGTGAAAAGAAGTTAATAATTTAAATACAGATCAAAGTAGATCACCCCTCGGGTGACATGAAAGCTGAAGGCAGGGCACTCCATACCAGGGGATCAGGAAAGTCTCTGGAAAGGAGATTGTTACTAAATTACTCTTAATTTATAAAGGTATATTGGTTATTGGCTGTAATTTTATTGGTTTCTAATGTAATCGTATTATATGAGCATCACATTATATAAGAAATTGGTTCCTTGATGTTTAGGACTTGAACGTGGGGTTGATTTTTAAGATTAATTTATTTGAGAAAGAGAGTGGGGGAGAGAGAAGGAGCAGGGGGAGCGGCAGGCAGAGGGAGAAGCAGGCTCCATCCCATGATCCCGGGATTGTGGCCTGAGCCGAAGAAGGCAGACTCCCGACTGACTGAGCCCCCCGGGCGCCCCACAGATCCAGTTTTACAAAAGCTTAACATGCTTGACGGGGACCACGTTCTGTCCCTGCAGTGCGCACACCTGAGCTCACATCCCCGCACCACACGTGCTGCTCTGCCATGCACTCTCCCACGTCACCGGCCGGGGGGCTGCTCGGCTTGCTGGTGTGGGAGGAGGATTACGGTTCTACACTGTGGGTGTGGATCTGTCCATCGTCTTGCTGGCGGTCAGTTTTACTCTGTAAACTTGGAGTTTCAGTGCAAGTTCAGGATGACTGTTTTTCCTTGTTCCGGTCGTCCTTATGCATGGAATGGCCTCAATGCCTGGTTTCTCAGCATAGCGCTGTGGCAGGTGGAGGTCGGCGTTGTTTGACAGGGAGGCCCGTGCTCATGTCTTGTGTGCCCTAGAGTGACTGCAGAAGTGAGGACGGGACCGTTTTAGTCCTGGTGTGCAGTTTGCGCTCTCAGAAAGCATAGCTGCAGCACAGGGGATTTTCTGTTTATCTGAACCGGAAACGGATGTTAGTGGAAAGGGAATCGCCGCTTTGGGGCTAGAACTATTCTATGAGGGAAGGAAGAAAAAAGATGTTTTTTCCCGCAAGATTTTTATTTAGGAAACAGTGCTAAAAGCAGAACCTTTCTAAGCCACTTAAGGCCCTGGGGTAAGATGTTGAGGGCATTTTCTGGTGGAACTGAGCTCACATTGTGCTGCACGTGGTTGTTCTAGGTGCACGGGTGCTCAGACGACTGCCGCCTTCCCTGCACCCCACAGCATCTTAGCTGTACTGGTTCCACAAGGCTGGGGTGCTGCTGGCATCCCGCTGCCATGTGTGCAGAACAGATCCCTCACAACAGAGTCCCCTGGCCAAAATGTCAGGAGCTCTGCTGCTGAGAAACACGCTCTACCCCGTCCTCAGCTGCAGCAGAACTTACCTCTGGCCCCGGGCGGCGTCCAGTGGCAGACTCTGGAGGGATGAATGTCTCCGACTTCCAGACCAAGTCTTGGTTCCACCTAGACACGGGCCTGTCCAGCGTCTGTGTCCACACGCAGAGAGGGGGCCCGTGTGGGCGTGACGTGGGTGTGGGGTGTGGGCTTGTCCTCGTGAAAGGTGGGCGAGGAGGGGCTCGTCCTTGTGCAGGTGGAAAACGCGTGTGCTCCCTGTCTCCCAGGGAATGGCTTACTGCAGCGGGCGGCTGAAGCAGGGAACGAGGCAGCGGCTCTCTTCCTGGCGACCAGTGGCGCCCAGGCCAACCACAGGAACAAGTGGGTAAGTGTGCCGGGCGGCCAGGGGGGCGGTGTGGGTCCGTGCAAGAAAGGCAGTGGTGGATGTTGGGGGGAAATTAGCTCTTTCTCAGTTTTTGTCTGAATAATACATGGACTTGGTTAGAAAACCAGGCTGAAACGGGTGTTTTGTCTCCAGATGTGGGTTGTGAGAGTCTTACGCTTACTGACTCTGGTGGGGTCATGGGGGTCACTGAGCATTCCCAGTGCCAGTGTGGAGGGGAGGGGGCTGGAGCAGAAGATGGTCCCACAGAGGAGGACACTGATGTGAGGCCCTCCACACCGCGACACCATTCGATGGGGAAGGGCGTGGGGGTGGGGGCTGAGTGCTGTGACACAGGGACACCGGATGCTCCTTGAGGCTCTCCTCATCGCAAAACCGTTCGATTGGAAGGGCGTGGGGGTGGGGGCTGAGTCTGGTGACGTAGGGCACAGGATGCTCCGTGAGGCCCTCATCGCTGTGACACCATTCGATGGGGAAGGGCGTGGGGGTGGGGGCTGAGTCCAGTGACACAGGGACACAGGATGGCCCGTGAGGCCCTCCTCACTATGACACCGGTGGATGGGGTAGGGCGCGGGGGTGGGGGGCCAAGTCTGGTGACACAGGGACACAGCAGTGGCAGGTGCACATACAGTGCCTGAGACTGGAAAACTGAGAGGCAGCAACAGGAACACGTTAGTTAGAAATACGGAGGTTGCAGAAAACCAGCTGAGAGGTCAAAGTGGAAATTTCTTTCAAGGGAAAAGGAAGTGGGTTGTTGCTGTGTCTCACAAGGCGCCTTGTCGGGTCTTGACTCTAGACCGATGAGGTGTAGTCTCCGTGAGAGTAAGGAGCAGGCCGGTGTGTTCGATTTGAGTCTGTTTGAGTGGCAGGATGCTGTGTGTGTACGTCTGGGTGCCTGTCCTTCTGTGATTGTTCTGTCCTTGGAAGGACGCGGGACTCTGGCACCCGAGTTTCCTTGGGGAGGGAGCTGGGTGGTGGGGGCAGGGCCTGGAGGAAACTTGCCACCGTGTGTTCTTGTGCCTCTTGAGTAGTGAGGCGAGTGTGTGGAATGGCAGTTTAAAGTGTTTTTAATGTCAGAAAGGAGGGGAAGGAGGACTTGATCCGAGCTCAAGACGGGGTTGATGGGAGCCGGGCAGAGAGCCCAGTGGGGGTGGGGCAGAAGGGGCCCGGTGGCCCCTTGGTAGTCCTGTCCCCACGGGGCCGCAGTCGAGGCTCTGCTTGCCCCCCCGGGGCTGGCTTCCGCGGCACGTCGGGCTTGTGTAATCGTAACTGTGTGAAGGGCGGTTAGGAACGCTGTCAGACACATATGAGAGGACGAGCCAGGGCGTTTTGGAGGACACTTGGCCGACTTTAAAGAAACAGAGGCTGATGGCACAGGGAAGGGAGGGACAGACCGGCAGGTGTGGGGCGCGTCACTGTCGGCCGGTGACAGGATGAGCCGAGGACGGCGACTGCCCCCGGGGATCCAGGTTTCGGCGCACAGGCTGTTGTTGGTGCTCCAGGACAGGCACTCCCCTCCTGAGCGCGCTCTGAGGTGCACCGTTTGCTTCCGTTCAGGGAGAAACCCCCTTGCACACAGCCTGCCGCCACGGCCTGGCCGGCCTCACCGCGGAGCTGCTGCAGCAGGGCGCCAACCCGAACCTGCAGACGCAGGAAGCCCCGCCGCCACCAAGGGAGGCCGTGTCCGCCAGCGGCCCCGCGGACGGTGTCTACCTGCAGACCCCGCTGCACATGGCCATCGCCTATAATCATCCCGACGTGGTGTCTGTCATCCTGGAGCAGAAAGGTGGGCGCTGGGGCCTGCCCTGCGCCTTCGAGCAGCAGCTCTGAGTCGTGAGTTGCAGAGTCGATGCTGCTTCCGCTGGGCAGTCTTCTCGCCCAGATCCTTCCAGGTCGAGCGAGATGAGCATGTCCTCTGGCTCCTGACCGCTTTTGCCCCATGTACAGCTTTTAGGACAGGGCCTGCCCATTCTACGCCACCTGTCAGGTTATGGCTTTAGAACTGGTGACTGCCTCTCATGTGGATGTTTTCCCAACGCCCTGTTGTCGGCGTGAGCAGCATCCGAGGACCCTGCGGCCCCAGGTCCTGCTCGAGCCAGCTGTCCTGCCTCAGCCTCCCTGACAGGAGCACCGTGGGAGGAGTGGGAAGGGAAGGAGGGCCAAGGGCAGCCCCTGCCGTGGGGAGGCCCACTTCCCCGAGAAAGGCATGCTCGGGCGCTCCCCTTTCCTGGCCTGGCTCTTGTCTTCCTCTTGTCCCGTCCCTGTGACAGTCAGCATGCCTCTAACGTGTGCCTCTGGAAGGGAGCAAGGCTGTAGATAGAGGCATTTTTCTGGGGTCCTCACGGGAGTGTTGCGGTGGTGGAAATTCTGTGCCATGGTTTTGACCCTCTCTTCGGCAGTCAAGTATCATTATGTGTTTGCATAGTGGGTTTGTTTTCCTTCTGTGAAGATTCACTATTTTAAGCCTTAAAAACTTCCTTTTTTCCTAAGCTCTGCTCCAAAATATCAGGCTCCCGGGCTTCCACCCCCTACAAGAAGATTGGTGAACTCTCTGTGTAGATTCTGTTCTAGCTGGTCAGTTAGTTGGAAACTAAGTAGCTCTTACGCTTTTGAATGTGGTCCATGGATGGTGAAATCAAGTGTGTGTTTCCTTTAAAAATTTTAGCTAATGCTCTTCATGCCACCAACAACTTGCAAATCATTCCGGACTTCAGCCTCAAGGACTCCCGAGACCAGACGGTGCTGGGCCTGGCCTTGTGGACGGGTAAGGGATGCCGGGAGCTGTCAGTGTCCAGATGGACCTGCGTCACAAGGTGGGGAGGGGCTGCGTGCATCACGGGGTTTGGGTTAAGCCTGTAACACCCCGTGGAAGCCGCCGACTTTGAGACATCGAGGGGGCTGGGTGTGTTGCGGTGAGATGTTGGGTGCGTGGGGCAGTCAGGGCCTGTTTGCGTCCCAGGCATGCACACGATCGCGGCGCAGCTGCTGGGCTCTGGGGCCGGCATCAACGACGCCATGGCGGACGGGCAGACCTTGCTGCACATGGCCATGCAGCGGCAGGACAGCAGGAGCGCGCTCTTCCTCCTGGAGCACCAGGCGGACATAAACGTCAGGTGGGCGGCGCCGCGCTCTCCCCGCAGGACCCGCTCCCGGTGCACTGGGCCCTGGGGGCGGCAGAGGGGAACCCCCCAGGACCAGGCCACGGTACCGCACAGAGCTCGTTGAAAGGACAGTCCAGAAGCCGTTGTTCAGAGAGTGATCTCATGCTCAACAAAGAACATTCCAGCCAATGAGCTGTCTGAAGGGCTTGGGGGAGAAGTGCGGAGTTCAGTTTCTAGCGTTCCCTTATTTCCAGAGGAATTTATCTTTATCTCCAGTGTCAGGTGACCCGGAATGGCTGAGTGGAGGGAGCCATAGGTCAAGTGCGTGGCGGCAGGTTACCGAGCTGCTGCAGGAAGCAGCCGGACGCCCGAGTGCACACCAGCACACACGGGCGCTGCATTACCTTCTGGGGGCACTGGGGTGGCTCAGCTGTATTTTTTAAAAAGGCAGAAGGGACAGAGGCTGCTGACGGGTTAAAGTGCTCTGAGGGAGTGCTGGTTATCGTGAGCGACGTGTCTTCTGGCCTCTGGAATGCGCTGGGGCACGCGTTATCGTTGGGCTCCGGCTACAAATGTTGGCTTTGGGTGCGTGTCCTCGCAGGACTCAGGATGGGGAGACGGCCCTTCAGCTGGCCATCAGAAACCAGCTTCCGCTTGTGGTGGACGCCATCTGCACCCGGGGTGCGGACATGTCCGTGCCAGATGAGAAGGGGAACCCCCCGCTGTGGCTCGCCTTGGCAAACGGTCTGGAGGACATCGCATCCACCCTGGTGAGACAGGCTCAGCTCCGGCCTCCGTTTCCGCGTGGGGGTGTTTGTGACCGAGACTGAGTTGCTGTCTGCCTAGCGGACACGAGGAACAAGGGAGCCGCCAGCAGGCAGTCGGGTCAAGGATGAGCAGCGGAAAGGCCTGTTCAAGAACTTGCAGTTCAGCGTGATCTTTCCAGCACTTTCTCTTAGGCTGTCTTTACCAGGACCGCCCAAGACACCAGAGAGCTGGGGTGCCTCCTCGGGAGGCCTTGGGTGTGGGCTGCCCTCACGGATACCATGGTGACAAGTCCCCAGAGCTCTGGTTTGTCTCCCTTACTCAGAAGACAGGCCCCAGGAAGTCCTTACTGAGCTATCTGACGTGCCTGGTCCCTGCCAGGAGTGCACTCTGTAGCCGGGGCCTCACGTAGCTGGTGGCGACATTCCCTGTGAGTTTCAGGCGTGTCACTGAGACCAGGGGAGTGCGTCTGTTTCCTGTCCTTCCTGAGACACGGCTCCCAAGGGCGATGATGATGTTGTCTTTCTGTCTTGTGTTTCCCAAATCCATCCCACAGGACCTGGCACAAAGCAGATTTTAACCAGTGTTCTACAGATGAGTATCATTAGCAGTAAATTGTCAGCTGTATCTTGCCTGAAAACAGTGAATCTGATGGTGTACCTAGAGTTCAGAGGGGGTCATAGAGTGACTTTGCTGGGCAGTGTTTGTGAGTCACCTGTGTTTTCTGCAGGTCAGACATGGCTGCGATGCTACGTGCTGGGGCCCGGGACCTGGGGGGTGCCTGCAGACGCTCCTGCACAGGGCCATCGATGAGAACAATGAGTCTACCGCCTGCTTCCTTATTCGCAGGTCTGAGAACCCCCAATGTCTCCTCGTGTCCTCTTCCTCAGCTGTGGTCTTAGCATGCCTTGGCGGGTCTGACGTCCCCGGTGAAGGCTGTAGGAGGGCCCCTGCTCTGTGAAGTCAGCCAGTGAAGGCACTTGACTCACTTCTGAGGAGAAGGGCTTGTGTGCCCATGTCGCAGTCTCGAAGCTGAGCCAGCTTCCTGCTCTGGGGGCCCTAGAGGCTCCCGTAGTCCCGTCTGGCCAGTTCACACAGTGCAGGCAGGAGGCTGGGGCGGAGGAAACCAGATGGCCCCTGTGGGGACCCCCCGTGCCCCCACCTGCTGAAGGTGCATGAGCCCTAGCAGGCCCATAGCACGCTCGGGGTGCAGTGTGTACGGCGGGGACCTGTAGAGCCGTGGTTCTCAAGATAATGACCACACACACATCCCTGGGGGGCCTTTGAAGAGTTCTGATGCCCAGGCTTCCCCCAAGACCAAAGGAAAATCGATGGGGCCAGACCTGGATGTCGGGTTGTGACTGAGACAGATGTCCTGGCCGCGGCAGCAGCGCGTTGGGCGGGTGAGGCTGCTGCTGCGGACTTGCTGGCGAGCCTCTGGCCGGGTTGGGAGCCTGGCTCTCGGAGCCGCCACTCACGTCCCCCTCGCTTTCAGCGGCTGCGACGTGAACAGTCCCAGGCAGCCCGGTCCTAACGGAGAAGGGGAGGAGGAGGCCAGAGACGGGCAGACCCCCTTGCATCTGGCAGCCTCCTGGGGACTGGAGGAGACGGTACAGTGTCTTCTGGAATTTGGTGCCAGCGTAAACACACAGGTATGGAGAATTTCTGTTTCCAGGGAGAGGGATGCTGACAGCAGAATTAGGGAGTAATCTCTTACCTGCCAGGGGCCTTGTAGACTCTCGGTCCTGGGCCTCGGCATGGCCGTGAGTGGGGCTAAGGGACAGGTGGATGGAGTGACTTCCCCTGGGTCACACAGTCTGCCCCATAAATTGTAAGTCTTTCAGGTAAGATTCTCCCACTCTGTGCCTTGGTCCTACAGTGTGAGGAGCGTTCCTTCGGTCAGCTTCTCTTTGCCCCTCGCCTCCGTTCGTTGTCCGTCTCTGTTGGGAGTTTGTCCTAGACCCAAGCTGAGCACTGTGCTCAGATGTCCCCGGAGCTCCATGGAGCACCCGAGTCACGTTCCTTGGTGCTCGTCGGTGTCCCGGCCTGTGAGGACGTAGGCTGCCTGCCACCGAGTGGGCGGTGGTCTCAGGCGAGGCTGACTGTGGGTTCATCTTCCCAACCAAGTGTGTTTGTGTCCCTGGGTCACTGGAGTGTGGGGGAGATGCCCGCGGCTTCTGGTTTTCTCTGGGCTTGGACTCTTGAAAAGCTGATTGCGGACGCAGGGGTGCAGTATCGGTTCTCAGACCCGATCTGATTTGATGCCCTTCCTGCTTCTCCCCGCGTTTCTCCTTGCATCTGGACACTGAGCTTATGCCTGACCCTGCAGGACGCGGAAGGGAGAGCGCCTGTGCACGTGGCCATCAGCAACCAGCACAGCGTCATCATTCAGTTGCTGATCTCCCACCCCGATATCCACTTGAGCGTCCGCGACAGACAGGGGCTGACCCCTTTTGCCTGCGCCATGACTTACAAGAATAACCGGGCAGCGGAGGCCATCCTCAAGCGGGAGTCGGGGGCTGCCGAGCAGGTGAGGAACCCACACCCAGCACTGCGCCCAGTGCCCGAGCTCGGGGGACTCGCGACGCGGAGACTAACCGGATGTCCCCAGCTGAACAGGTCTCTTGTCCATGAAGACACCTGTGTTGAAAGTGCTCTCCCCTTTCCTGAAGTCTGGCCGTTCCGGCGGACTGTCGGTGCTGGCGGAGAGCAGGGTGCTCTGCCCCATGTCAGCCCTGTGCTGGTGCCCCGCGCACAGGGAGGCTGGGGTGGCCAGGCCCCGGCCGGGGCGTAGTTTCGTGGTGTGCCCCGATGGTGTCCTCATGTGCCTCTGCTTGGGCTCCTTGTCCTAGTGATGAAGGTCTTCTGGAGGTGTGAATCGAATGGCAGGAGCGGCTGGCGTCGGGGCAGCTCTCCGGAGAGAGCATCTCTGAGGAGCGGGGCTCCGTCTGGGCGGCAGGCTCAGGCCCAGCCTTCTCTGTGCTGCTTCAGCAGCTGCTCGGGGTGGCTGGCGAAGGGGTGGCTGGTGAAGGGCCGGCCGCAGGGTATCCAGGCGGGACTGGGATCCCCATTGGGGTTCACAAGTAGCCTCCGAGGGCAGTGACGTGGAGATGTGGCAGCTGAACAGAAGGAAGTCCTGGCGCTGTAGACGAGCCCCGCTCAGGAGCTCAGGCTGTCCTGGGCCGCTGGCTTCGTGTTGGCGTGTGAGCGGGCTGCGGGTGCTGCCACAAGGTCGGGAGCGGGCAGCCCGTCGTGTTTCCTCACACACAAGGGAGACGGGCACGGTGGACCGGAGTCCTTCATAGAAACACCGTCTGGGACAGCAGCACGTGCTGTGTGTGTGGCTATGTGTGTGTGTGCGGCTATGTGTGTGTGTGCGCTGCCTCCTCACTTCTCACCAAGCACTCGGACGCAACGGTTCTCGTAGCCACAACTTCTCTGGCCGGTTGCACGGAGCTCCGGTCTGCAGCAGGCTGGCAGCTGCCTGCCCGCTGCGTGCTCTTACCCTGTAGCCCGATGGAGGGGGAACCTTGTGCAACTGCTCGGGGTCGGGCTGCTGTTGCCGCTGCGGTGGGGGGTCCTGAGGGCTGGTCTGAGCCAAGCAGGGGACCCCACGGCTAGTCTCTGCCTTCTCCTTTTTCCCCGAGCGCCCCCTTCCTTTTCCCATCCGCAGGTTGTCTCTTTCTCAGTTTTCCAAATCAGCTTCTGCTGCCGGAGGGTGTCAGGGCCTTGCACACGTGGTCAGATGCACACGTGTTGTGGCGGGGTGGGGGGCACGTGCAGTGTTGGCTCTTGGGAGGGTGCCTCCTGGACCTGAGGGGTTGGCCACACCATCGCCTCTGGCCGGTGATCAGGAGGCTCCCTCGTGGGGGGAGCCCACTAATGTTTTGGCTCCTTCTCATTGCCTTAGGTGGATAACAAGGGCCGGAATTTTCTTCACGTGGCAGTTCAGAACTCTGATATCGAGAGCGTCCTGTTCCTGATCAGCGTGCAGGCGAATGTGAACTCCAGAGTCCAGGATGCCTCCAAGCTGACCCCTTTGCACCTCGCCGTCCAAGCGGGCTCGGAGATCATCGTCCGCAACTTGGTAAGTGCCGCGAGCAGCGCGTGGGACCTGTGGGCCGGGTCGTGCCGCGTGCAGGAGCTCTCATCACTGCTGTTCTGGAGGGTTTTCTGAAGCGCTGGCATGAATTTGGGGAGCTAAGCCAGTGCCCTTGCAGGAGCCCTGTGTCTGTGGTAGTGCGTCCTGAGAGCCCAGCCAGCACCGTGTGCAGGTGCTGGTGTGAGGCCTTGAGGGAAAGCAGGATCTGGGGCAGGCCCGGCCGCAAGGGCAGGGAGGCCCACGTCTGCACTGGTGCCAAGCGTGTGCTCTTGGGGCCGCTGGCACACGCTCGCGTGCTCTCATCAGTGTGTCACATTGCCGTACTTTCTGGGGTATGTCACAGTGGTTCAGTATTCGTGTGGAGCATAGTGAGCACCACGGCAAGTCTAGTTAACATCTGTCACACATGGGTACACACGCTTTCTTCCGATGAGAACTTTTAAGATTTACTTTCTGCAGTTTCAGGTACGCGGTGTGGTGTTACCTGTGGTTCCCGTGCTGTGCATTACTGTCCCAGGACTTAGGTGTTTTATTTATTTCTCTTTTTAAGATTTATTTATTAATTTGAAAGAGAGAAAGCAAGCACGCACAAGCAGGGGCAGCCCCAGAGGGAGAGGGAGAAGCAGGCTCCTGCTGAGTAGAGCCCCATGCGGGACTCGATCCCAGGACCCTGAGATCATGACCTGAGCCTAAGGCAGATGCTTAACTGACTGAACCGCCCAGGAGCCCTGGACTTACGTATTTTGTAACTGGAAGATTGTACCTTTTGACTCCCTTCACCTATTTCAGCACCCCACACACCCCCTCTGAAAACCAGCAGTCTGTTTTCGGTACCTGTGAGTTTGGGTTTTTGATTTTTAGATTCTCCATCTAAGTGGGGTCATATGGTGTTTGTCTTTCTCTGCCTTATTTCATGGAGCTTAATGCCTTCAGGGTGCACCCGTTTTGTTACAGAAAGCATGAGCTTGTTGTCTCTGGCTGAGTAGTGCCCGCCGTGTGCACGCTGCATCATTCCCCATCCGTCCGTCATGCACCCAGGGGCCGCTTCCTGTCTTGGCTTTGCCTGTAAGGCTGTGGCGGACGTGAGTGCAGATAGCAGCCCAGGACGTGCACGCGTGCTGGAGCCCTCCCCAGGGCTGCGGTGTGTGGCGTGCGGGCAAGGCTGTGCAGGGTGCCTCTGTGCGGGCCCCAGCTGTGCAGGGTGCCACGGGCACCTGTGTAGGAGAAGGCGGGTCCCAGACTCGCAGGCTGCCTCTGCTCTCTGTGGAGAACTCAAGGAGGCCAAGAGCAGGTCCAGACTATCAAGAGTTCCCATGCTGGTTGTGCTGGTTGGTTTGTGTGATACTAAAGGCATTTTAAAGCTTTTTTATAGTGTGTGCAAGAAACTTGCTCCTTTATCTTTTTTTTCTTTAAATAGTGATTTTCCTTTCGATGAATACCCAGTAGTGAAATTACTGGGTCACACGGTGTTTCCGTTTCTCGTATTTTGAGGAACGTCCGTGCCGTTCTCCAGAGCGGCTGCGGCAGCCTGCACACCCACCAGCCGTGCACAAGGGTCCCTGTTCTCCGCTCCCTCGCTGGCCCTTGCTGTCTCCTGCGCTGCTGATTTTAGCCCTTCTGACCAGGGTGAGGTGGTATCTCATCGTGATTTTGATTTGCGTTTCCCTGATGCCGAGTGATGTTGCACATCTTTTCCTGTGTCTGCTGGCTGCCTGGACGTCTTCTCTGCAGAACTGTCAGGTCCTTCTGCCTGTCTTTACATCGTTCACTTATTTATTGGGTATTGAGTTGCGGTGAGTTCTGCTTATATTTTGGATGTTGGCCCCTTACCGGACGTGTGACTTGCGCATACATTCATTTGGTAGGTCACACCTTTTCATTCTGTGGATGATTTCCTTTGCTGTGCAGAAGTTTTTTAGTTTCTGGCCCAGCTTGTTTATTTTCGCTTTTGGAGTCAGATCCAGAAATCACTGCCAAGATTGACATCAAGGAGCTGACCACTCCTTAATTCTCAAAACCACCCAGAGAGGTGTAGGAAAATTTTCACATCTTACGAAGCAGAAAATGTAAGCTCAGAAAGAAGTTTCCCTCGAGATTATGAGGTGGTCAGTAGCGTGGCTGGGATTTTAGGCATTTCTGTTCAGCTACAAACCCTGTCTTTCCCAGTGCAACACAGTGCCACCCAGGCCGGGGAGCGGTCTGAGCAAGGACGTGGAGACTAGAGAGTGTGTGTGAGTGCTTTCACTAGGAAGGTTCGGTTGGAATTTGGGGAGGGTGTTGGAGCTGTGGTTGGAAGGGCAGGTAGGGACCAGATCGGAGGGTGTGACACGGCAGACCTAGAACTGTGAGCAGCCTTTACCCTTTTGGTGTGGAGAAGCCAAGCAAGTGTGTGAGCTGAGAGCACATGGAGGCGAAGGGCTTCGTGTCCCCTGGCCAGACCCTGAACCTCCCATCAGACCCAGCACCTGCTGCCCAACTAGCCAGCAGGGCACTTGACTGGTGTTCATTGTCCCTCCTTCTTTCTCTTTCCTTTTTTCCTTTCCTTTCTTCTCTTCTCTTCGCACAGTGTGAGCTTTGAGCTCACAGCCCCGAAACCAGGAGTCACATGCTCTACCAGCTAAGCCAACTGGGTGCCCCTGTCCCATTTTTTTTTTTTTTTAAGATTTTATTTATTTATTTGAAACAGAGAGAGAGATCACAAGTATGCAGAGAGGCAGGCATAGAGAGAGAGAGGAGAAAGCAGGCTCCCCGCTGAGCAGAGAGCCCGATGTGGGCCTCGATCCCAGGACCCTGAGATCATGACCTGAGCTGAAGGCAGAGGCTTAACCCACTGAGCCACCCAGGCGCCCCCATTTTTGTTTTTGAGAAAGACTTCTTCGAAAACCATTATGACTTGTTATGTGTCAGAGCTGAGATAGCAGGTACCTCTGCAGTGGGCTGTGGGGGGTAGTTCCGTGAGGAGGGCTGGAGAATGATGGTGGGGTGTCTGGTAGCACCAGGCCCAGACTGGGTGTGGGGACCAGCCACGGAGGCATAGGGGGGCCGCAGAGTAGCAGACAGTCTCAGGCCATGTGTGCTTCCATCTGAGAGCTGGGACAGGTTTGAGGATCACGGCCCCTTCACCAAGGTCGAGCTGCTGCCTCCCTGACTTCACAGGTGGTGGGAGGGCCTAGAAACAGCTCATCAAACTGGCTGTCGGGTTCATGTTGGAGCCTGTTGCATCTAAGAATGCCTTTGTCCAGACCTCTCCCCCTCCCCAGTTAACCATCCTTGAGATCAGCTCTGAGCCCCAGCACACGCAGCACTTGTGGCCATGGATCCCCCTCGGAATGTCCTCCTGGGCCTGTGCGTGGTTGCACTGGGCGCCCAGAGGTTGCAGAGGCTGGGACTTGGAAGGCAGGGTCCGAACCAGAGCCTCGAGGCAGAGTTCCGCACCCGCTGGGAGCCGGCCTGGCTTCGGGCTGCGGGGCAGGCATCACGGACTCTAGCCCCAGCTTGGAAATGTGTCCGAAAAAGAACGAGTGGACAGGATATTGTCGAAAGGTCCTTCCTGCTTTTGATTCTGTAATTCCTGGGGTTAATTTCTTTTTAAAAATGACATAGGAGGGGGCGCCTGGGTGGCTCAGTGGGTTAAAGCCTCTGCCTTCGGCTCGGGTCGTGATCCCAGAGTCCTGGGATCGAGCCCCGCATCGGGCTCTCTGCTCAGCAGGGAGCCTGCTTCCTCCTCTCTCTTTCTCTGCCTGCCTCTCTGCCTACTTGTGATCTCTCTCTCTCTCTGTCAAATAAATAAAATCTTAAAAAAAAAAAAAAATGACATAGGAAGGGCACCTGGGTGGCTCAGTGGGTTAAAGCCTCTGCCTTTAGCTCAGGTCATGGTCTCAGGAGACCATCTCAGGATGGAGCTCTGCTCAGCAGGGAGCCTGCTTCACCCCCGACCCCTGCCTGCCTCTCTGCCTACTTGTGATCTCTGTCAAGTAAATAAATAAAATCTTTAAAAAGAAAAAAAATGACAGAGGAGGGGCACCCAGCTGGTTCAGTCAGTGGTGCGTGTGACTCTTGATCTCGAGGTTGTGAGTTCAAGCCCCATGTTTGATGTGAAGATTATTTAAAATCTTAATAACAACAGAAAATAATATAAACATAGTATATGCTTATTGTGGAAAACCATAAAGCGTGTAAGGATGTTGAAGCAGGTCACATCTCCCTTATGCCCCCGACACCTCTGAGTTTGGTCTACGTGCTTTTACACACCTTCAGTGTGTGTGTGTCTGTGTGTGTGTGTGTCTGTCTCTCTCTGCAGATGGGATCCTACTGTCATTCTGTCTTCTAACAGGCCTTTGTTTGACTTCCTGTATCGTGGTGTCCTTCCCTGTGAAAGCACAAATCTTTATCATCTTACTGGCTACCGTTCTGTTGTTTGGAGTTCTGTAATTTTCGTAACTGAATCCTCCTTGCGATCTGGCTTTGCTGCTGTGAGCAGCGGATGTCCTTATGCAGTATGGTGAAAATCACTGTCATCCTGTGTGGTCTGTAGCGCGGAGTCGTGGAAGTTGAGTTTTGTGTTCTAAGGAACGGCTTCTTCATGTACCGATAGTTGTCGCTTTCTGCTTGGGGCGGGTTCCTCTGGCTTCTGCGAGGAGCGTGTGCGAGGCCTGCGCGGTCCCAGCGTTGCTGGCCGGGTGGGTACTTGGATGTCTGGAGACGGGCAGGCTTGCCGCGGTCCGCAGAACCTGTGCTGGTTGCGGCGGAGAGGCTGCTCAGGTAACCAGCCCGCACAGCTTCTTGCAGGAGCCAGAGTGAATGAGCTGACGAAGCATCGCCAGACGGCCCTCCATCTCGCCGCCCAGCAGGACCTGCCCACCATCTGCTCCGTCCTCCTGGAGAACGCAGTGGACTTTGCTGCTGTGGATGAGAATGGAAATAACGGTGGGTGCCCTCCGCAGTGCCCCTAGTCTGGAGGTCGAGGTGCCCTGCACCCTGGCCTGCCCTCCTCGGGGAGGCTGGTTTCCACAGCAGCAGAGCTGTGGCAGGGAGGGCTCTGGGCTGGGCTCCCTTGGACTGTTCCGGGCAGCTTCCTCCCAAGCCCTGCGGTGGTTTCCGGTGAAGCCCTGAAGTCTTTGCTCCGGGTGACTGCAGACGCAGAGTGTGCGGTCTGCCGGGGCTGTGTGCATGACTCTGGTCTGGGGGGTGGTGAGACTGGGCAGCCGTGGCTGTGTGAGTGGACGGGGGCTGCTGTGGCTGCGTCCTGTTCCGAGGGAGGTTGTAAAGAGGCCATGTTTCCCGTGCCGGTCCTGGGCTTGCCCAGTAAGAGGGTTTACCCTGCAGCTCTGCATCTCGCGGTCATGCACGGTCGGCTCAACAACATCCGGGTCCTCCTGACCGAGTGCACCGTGGACGCCGAAGCCTTCAACCTGCGGTGAGTGTGTGTGGTCGGAGCAGAGGCCTGGGCTCCACGCCACCTGGCCTGCCCTCACCGCCATGGTCCCCGTGCCTCGCAGGTCCACACTGTAGGACTAACTGGCTAGTAGCGCACTTGACCGACTTTGGTAGCTCGGAGTGTTTCTTTCTGAAAAATACTTTGTAGAGAAACTTTGACGACCTAGTCAGTGTTCTTAAATTTATCCGGCATCACAGGGGTCAGAAAATTACATCTTTTGTGCGTGACCCCGCTTTTCCCACTTGCTCTGCCAGCGGCCAGTCGCCACTGCACATCCTGGGACAGTATGGCAGAGAGAATGCAGCGACCATCTTCGAGCTGTTCCTGGAGTGCATGCCCGAGTACCCTCTGGATAAGCCGGATGCAGAAGGGAACACGGGTACGTCAGCGTACGTGGCTGCCGTCCCCACTCCCTGGGCTCCCGCCTTCCGGAAGGACAGGAGCCTGGGCACACACGTCATCCTTGGAGGGCACCTGCCTGCGCATCGGGAGGGGCTCTTGGAGCATCTGTCCCTGGAGCCCCTGTGGCGTTCTGCAGTGTCTGATTTGGGGCACATGCATGTCGGAAGTGTCTGGAGAACTCCCCAGCCACGCTCCCGTCCGCACGCCTGCCTTCCTGTGTTTCCTGTCCTCCTCTGCCCCTTGTCTGGCCCTGCACGCACTTCCGGGGCGGGGGGGGTGTGCTGTGGTGTGTGTTGATGGGCTTTGGAAACGTGGCCCGTTTCGCACATAGGGGCAGGAGTCCTGTGGAGGCCCTCCTGTGGCACTGCTCCGGTGCCCACGGTCATGGCACTAACTCGTGTGGTTGTCCCCGCGTTTCTGAGGGAGTCTTGCATGTAGACGCTTGTGCAGTGCCTGCAACCCCCCGTTAGCAGTGCAGGCAGGGCGTCTCCATTTTTCAAGTAGGGAAACGGGTGAAACCGGCCTGGGCTCCCAGACCCCTGCGCCGCTGCCGCGCTCCCGTTCATTCTTCCTCCTGCTAGACAGCGCCGCCTCGGCCTTTGGCAGCAGCGTGGCATCCCAGGAGCGTCCGGAACCTTCGACGGGCGCACGTATCCTGTCTGTTCTTGGCCTTGGTGTGTGAATGTGTTGTGCTGAGCCTGGGTCTGAGGGGAGTGGGTTGTGGGCCCGGCACCCGCTGCTGTGCACCGCTGCCCAGGAACCGGAAACGGGCAGGCGGGCACTTCTTGTCGGGCTTAAGTGCACAGACCCGGTTCCCAGTGCCTTGCTCTGTTCTCGGTGGTGCCGCTGGGCACTTTTGTGACCTCTCTGTGCCTCTTCCCTCATTTGAAATCATCGCCCCGTCCGTCTGCACCGTTGAGAGGACGGAGTGAAGGGGGGAGTGCAGGGTGTTAGCGAGGGAAGCGACAGGCCAGCAGGGGCCTGGCCGGAGCCTGGGAGCCCAGAGGGCTGGCGCCTGCACAGGAGACCTCCCCGGGGTGGAGGGTGAGCCCAAGCTGACTTTACTCTCCACGTATTCTGGTGTTCTTGTGTCATGTAACTAGGGCTTTGTCCCCTCGAGTGCGTTCCAGAGGTGGGCAGCTGAGACAGAGGCCTTCCTTCCAGGCCTCCTCCCGCGTCTGGTCTCTGCTCACGTCTCTGGAGTGGCGTGCTCACCGGGCTCCAGAGCGGCCCTGCGTGCCCCGGGCTCCTGGCCCTGGACTGGACAAAGCTGCGTTCCCCATGGAGGTTTCCCAGAGTGTCCGCAGGGCCTTTGCCGGCACGCGCGCTGCCAGGGCCTGTGCTCCCCTCAGCCGGGCCTGGGTAGGAAGGAGCCCTGCTGCTGTTTCGTTTTCCAGTGCTGCTCTTGGCGTACATGAAAGGGAATGCCAACTTGTGCCGCGCCGTCGTCCGCTCTGGGGCTCGCCTTGGGGTCAACAATAACCAGGGAGTCAACATTTTTAACTACCAGGTCGCCACGAAGCAGCTTCTGTTCAGACTGTTAGGTGAGTGGCTCCTTCCTGCTCCTCCAGGGCACACGGTCCCGGTGTGGGTCGTCTAGATGTCCTGGTGACCTCTGAACCCCAGAGTGCGCCTGTGCGTTCCTGGCCCTGTATATAGCTTCCTGTGAGGGCCGTGGTGGGAGAGGGGCTGTGAGCAATCTCTTCCCAGAGTGCTCTCGGGCCCCATCTGCTCCCGGCTCCCCGATCCCACCAGCGATCCATGAACTCCTGGGTCACCCGTGCACGAGTCCAGCAGTCCCTGCACGTCTATGTCCAGGCTCTCCGTGTCCTCTGGGACAGCCTTCTGCTTCTGCCCCCACTGACCCCACCCACCCCGTTCCCTCTGTGGCAAGGAGAGCTGCACTCTGCATGGTCTTGTATTTGCCAGCATCACCCTGTCCCTGTTGAGGTGGCAGTGGCGCCGGGTGGACCTGTCCAGCGTCCCCGAGTGGTCCACAGCAGAGCCGGTGCCCATGCACGGTTCGTCTCACACCCCTGCCCTTCGCAGCGCATGTGGGCCGCCTTCTCAGAGCTCAGGGCAGGAGCCATCCGGGGCGCTACTGTGGAAGGTGCTGGGTGGTGACCAGCCCTGCGCTGTTCCTGCCGTGAGGTCAGGCCACGTGCACAGGCAGGGCGCTCTGGGCAGCAGAGAGCTGGCGTTCAGCCTGGAGATGAGTCACGGTTCTGTTATGCGTGCTGGTCACTCCTAGCCCGAATGCTCCGCAGCCCACACCAAGCCCTCAGCCGCTCTTGCCTCCTCCCGGCCCCTCGTCGCCTATGGTGCTCACTCTAGGTCTGTCCCTTCCCCGCTGGCCCCTTGCTGTGTGGCCTCTGCTGGTCTTCCCAGCCTGCGGTCTCTCTCCCACTGTGCCTCCTGCTCTGGCCGCCCCTGGTTGCCCAGGTCCCCCCGCAGACGCTGTGCTGTCACAGCGTTGAGCACTGCCCCTCCTGCCCCAGCCTGCCTGGCAAGTGCTAGGGCTCCAGAGCCTTCCCCCGTGTCGCTCCCACGCCCACGTCACTGTGACGGCCCCCAGGTCGCCTGGCACTGTCACTTTGATGGGGACAGGGCCTCTCCGCCCATCCTTGCAGACATGCTGTCCAAGGAGCCTCCATGGTGCGATGGGTCCACCTGTTACGAATGTGCCGCCAAGTTTGGAGTCACGACTCGCAAGCATCACTGGTAAGGCCCCAAGGTTGCCCTCCAGAGGGGCAGTGGCTCTCCTGTCCCTCCCTGCTTCTGCCTTTCTCCGCAAGAAGCCATGGACCTGCCAGGGCCCTGCGCTGGTGACGCTGCCGTGGCCGGTGCGTGCAGGAGGGCGGGGGGCTTGGCTGCGTTGAAAGCCGAGGGGCTGGGCCCATGAGGACGAGCCCGGTGTTGGGCTGTGCCGAGCGGCTCTTGTTTTTTGGATTTTTTTTTTTGGCTCTTGGTCTTTGACGAGCCTTCCTCGCAGGCGCTGTAACGTGTGTGTGGGGCTGGTGGTACTGCCGTGGCCGCTGGAGGCCCCCTCACGCCCCCTTGCTTTGCTTCCACAGCCGCCACTGCGGACGCCTTCTGTGCCATAAATGCTCAACCAAGGAGATTCCTATTATAAAGTTTGATCTGAACAAGCCCGTGAGGGTTTGCAACATTTGCTTTGATGTACTGACTCTGGGGGGGGTCTCTTAGGGATCCCCCAGGCCACATCCCGGTCGCCTCGCCGGCAGCTGCTCTGCTCAAGAGCCTGACCCACCCAGAGCAGGAGCTGGCCGTCCCGTCTTCCTGCGGAACAGACTGAACAATGAAGGACCCAGGGGGGATTGACCCCATTACAAGGATTCCATTGGGTTGTCCGTGTGTCCGACTGTGATCAAGGTCACTGGATGACTTGGTGGACCAAGCCGTGTCGTCTCAGCGGCACCTGTGACAAGAGTTGGACCCCATTCTGCTTGCAACATACAGGGACACTTGGAAAACCCCTCCCCTCCCAGTAGTTTAGTGTCCGTGTGGAGCAATCCCGTGGTCTTCCTGCGCTGGCGGCCGGGCGGGCGGGACCCCGCGGGGGGGTGGCTGGCGGCCCCATGAGCGCTGCCTTCGCTCTGGGTAAGTGGCAGCACAGTGTTTCCTCAAAGATTATAGGATCCTCTTGCCCCAAGGCTTGTTTTTTAAACGTGAGCTGATATTTTTAGTGAGTTCCCCCTTTAAAAAAGGTGAAATCTTTATAAACAGGGTTCAGAGATGAGAGCTGAAAAATCGTGGCCTTAACAACCGAAAGCTTTACCTGGGTTCAGGAGCGCAGCATCTGGTTCTCTCGTCTGGCCGCATGCCGTGCGTGGAGGCCTCGCTCTGCCATCAGGGCATGCTGGTGGAGGCACACTATGTGTTGCATGACATGTAGAGCTGCGCTCCGGGGGGTTCGACGTCCACACCTGTACTCAGAGGCCACCTTGCACACGCACGCGCTAGTGACTCTGACGATTGGCCCTGATAGGGCCACAGCGCGCACAGGACTGCCGGGCATCCCCGGGAACCTGCGGGTCACCCGGGCCCAGTGGTGGGGTGTTAAGGGGGATTGTGTGGCCTCCGGCTGGCAGGCACAGGGGCCCACGGTTCATGGAGGCTTGCCTAGCGGGTGCGAGCAGGTTTGGAACACGCTGGCTTATCCGTGGAACGAGGCCCCTGAGCTTTGGGGGCCTTCGTTGCTGCTAGTGCGTGTTGCTAACCCTGTGGCGCTGAAAAGCTCCTTTTGAAGGTTTAGCCAGTTTTTAAAAAATGCACATTTAGAGAAACTTCTACCACTGCTTTACAGAAAGAAACTCTGAGATGAACACGTGTGCCCGTGAGTTACTCTCAGAGCTTAGCAGCGTCGATCGTAACGCCGACTTTTCAGACCGTGAGCAACCACTACATTGTTTTTGCGCTAATGAAGTGTGGGTGTATGTGTAAAGGGACTAAATATCTTGGCAACAGCCTGCTTTTCTTGGTTTGTTTTTTGGACGGTGGTCTGTTGTCTCTGTTGCTGTAGATTTATACAGTCTGTTGCCTAAATGTGTGTGTAAAACAAGCTGATAAGCCAGAGTGCTACTTTTTAATATTTCTGTCATTTATGAGACATATATGCTTTCTATGTTAATATGAGCTTGTGCACAATGTTTAAAAGAATCAGAAGAGTCCCCTGGTCCTCTAAAGTGTGTGACACGTTTCCTGTAGAACTTCTGCAGAGGAACAACTAGTCTTGGCAGACACTTGACCATGTGAGGCCCGTGGTCAGCTGAGCAGGACCATGAGGAAGTAGGGCTTCGTGAGGTAGACCGGTTCTTTAGCTGGAAAGTAAGATAATTATGCTTCAGATGTGAATCGAGGCAGTTGGTACTTTTATGCTTGCTCTTTCCACATTCAGGGTGGAGAGCGGAGGCTGGGAAGCCCATCAGGGATCGGGCTGACGTCCCGCTCCTGCCCTGCCGTTACCAGTTTTAGTAGCCGTCTTGCCTCTTGTTGCACTTAAGTCCTCAAGTCCTGTCTAAAATACGCCGAGGCCAGCTCCTCTTTGTTCCGGTCCGGGGATGGCAGAGGTGCCGGGTGGCCCCAGAGTGGGCAAGCGTTTTGGGAGTTCTGCATGGCTTCGCTGTGTCCTTGAACATGCGGCAGGACCACGGGGTTCTTGCTGGGCTGCACGAGGCGGGTTCTGTGGCGGCTGCCTGTGGGGCTCTCGCGTCCCAGCCCTTGCTGGCACTGGCCATGCTGCACGACTGCGGGGCCGTCCCCGTGTCACTTCGGCCTGTAGCCCAGCTGCTAGCGGCAGCATCTCACTTGCAGTCCTTGAGAGAGCTGCTGGTTGCCCCGAGGTCCGGCGTGCGCATCTGCATGTTGCGCCGCCTCAGCTCGGCCGGCCTCCTGCCCGGCGCCAGGCCCACTGCATGGCGACCTCCGCCTCGGCCCGCGTGCGTGCCCGCGGCCTCACCTAACTGGCTGCAACTCCCAGCGCGGGAACTGGCCACCCAACTTAAGTGCCTACACTTGGGACTTTCCGGTTCTGGTGGTCTGGGCAGACGACGGGGCAGAACGAGTGCTGCGTCCGGGGTCTGCGGCCTGCGCGGTGTCTCCCCGCCACACGCTCCAGCAGTGGGGTCCCTGTGCCCGCTGGCCCTCTACCTCAGCCCCAAGTCCCTGTGGCCGTGCCTGCGTGGAGGCCAGCGGCCCAGCAGGTCGGCCACCTCTCTGCACGCGCCCCCGCCTGGCCTGCCGCCTGGGACCGCGCCGGCCTGGTCCTTAGGCGCAAAGTGGGGGGCGCGCCTCAGGAGGGGCTGCGTGAGTATTAGACCCAAGGGGTGCACGGGGCCCCCAGACGACGGTGGTACCACGCAGGGCAGTGGGACGCGGTCCTCACGGGAACTGAAGGTCTTCCGGGACCGGGACTGCTCCCCTCATGACGGGCCCCTCCGCGGGGGCAGGGGCTGGGAAGCCACATGTCATCGTCATTTAATGCAGTAATCGCAAGGAGCCAGTGCTTGACCAGATGCAAACTGAACACCGAAGCAGCCCCCAAAGTCGTCACACAGCCTTAAAGACGTTCTCCGGAAGATCGCTGCCTGCGCGCTCCCTTTGGTCGCACAAACCCCGCGCTGACCTGTTGCACTCGGCACACAGGCTTTGTAGCAGGGAGACCTGGCTTGGCACCCGCTGGGCTTCGTAGCTGGTCCTCTTGTGGCAGAGGCATCTGGCTGGCTGTTGCCATGACAGCTGTGCACGGCGGGGAAAGGGTGGTCTCGGGGCAGGGGCAGGAGGTGCGCGTTTGGGAGGATCCCTTGGGCTTCCTGCCACGCAGGGCGGTGCTCCGTGCAGGACGGCGGCCTTGGGGTGGGACCTGGAAGGCGCCAATCAGTGGTGGTCTCTTGGAGTCTGCGTCATGGAATGTATTTTTTAAATACTGATATTTGCATTTTCTGTAACCATTCCTTACAATAAGATGAGGTAAAATTGTGCATTTAAAGTGGAAACTTCAGCAAGACATTTGTAGTCACTTTTTAATGCAGAAATACCAATAAGCATTAAAAACGGATTTTTAACTCCTGACATGTGAACCCACTTCTTGAATAGCTCACCCTCTAGGAAAGTTGGAATTTCCAGCACTTTTTGGAAGCACGTTGATGGCCGCAGTCCCAAAGTACCTGTACTAGGCGTGAGCGACCAGCCACCTGGACGTGCCCGGGGCCGACATCAGCCCAGGCAGCCACGCTTCCTCTCCGACCCCTCCCTCGGTCCCGGCCCCAGGCAGCGTTCTGCTCGCCCTGGTCTAGCGGGCGGATTCCAAGAAGACTAGGGGAAGTTCGGGGACTCGAGGACCAGAGCTGAGGGGCTCACAGAGCCCCTGAACAAATCCTGCGACTCTTGCCACGCCCCGGGCCCTCGCGTGTGCTGGTCTTCCGTCTTCCAGCCTGTCCCCCCGGGGTTCAGACCCGCCGTGGAGACGGAGACGGAGCTCGTTCTCTGCTGGCTTCTCTCACGGCTGACAGGCACGGTTAAGTGCCTCCAGGGGACAAGCCCGCGTAACCCTCACAGCCGCCCTGGAGGGGAAGGCTAGTCGGAAGGTGTGTGAACCCATGAGAACCCCGAGAACGGGGCCGGCACAGACCCTGCACTGCCCAGCGAGGGGAGGGCGCTGGCTCTCCGCTCTGCTGTTCCTGACGCACCGACAGTACTGGCAAGTTCCCGGGCCTCGGGGCCTTAGTGCCTGCATCCGTGGAGTGGGAGCGGTGACCAGTCCTTCCCGGCTCACAGCCCCCCCGAGGGAGGTCATCAGAAATGGGTGACGTGCCCGCCTCTGATGCAAGGACACAAGGTCCCCTCCACTGGGAGCTGACGGGGGCGGAGGGTTTGCTTCATCTTGGTCTGAGCGGCACCACGGATTTCGGGACAGACAGGGTCCAGCCTGTGTGTGGGGCCTTCCAGGTCCCAGAGCTAAACAAGTCAGGGGTGGGCAGTGGTCCGGAATGGCTCCCTCTGGGGGGGCAACCCTGCCCCAGAGGGCGGGACGCAGACGCGGGGGAACCGCTCAGCTCAGCTCTGCTGTGCGCCTGCTCTGGGCCCTCCGAGGGCCAGCAGACAGGTTGAAGGAGAACAGATGAAGCCCCCGCCCAGGATTATCTCCCTCACAAGCCATCTTCCCAGCTAGAACTGCCCTGGGGGCCTCCTCTGCCGAGCTCTGCCCCCGGAGGCTGCCTCTGGAAGAAAGCTGCCACCCCAGGAAGCCCGAGCTTCATCCAAGCAAGCCCGAGCCCGCCACCCCACATGAGGAGCACTTCAAGGTCAAGTCCGTGTGGTGGCGAAGAGGAAGTGAGCCGCCTGCAGCTGGGGCAGTGGGGTGCCTGGGGCCCTCCATGGCTGCACTAGGCCGGGATGGGGGGGCAGGTGTCTCATTCGGCTCATTTCCATTGCCAGTTTGTTTTGGGAGAGTCTGCACTTCTCTGGGCCAGCCCCCACACTGGCCCTTGTTCCCACCCCGAGGATGGCCTCTGGGGCTCTAGCAGGGCTCCCGCTGCCCACTGTATCCTCCATGAGGTGATCCTCCCCTGCCCCCCCACCCCCCAGCACCCAGGTGCCTGCAGGGACGGAGCAGTATGGAAGGACACACACAGCACTGAGTTGGGGCAAGAACCTGGAACACGAGGCCCCGCTCCACTGCTCGGTGCTGCCCATCTGTGCACTTACCCCGGGCTGGGTACCAGGGGTACAGGACACCAGGCTGGGGAGCCCTCAGTCCCTGTGCAGGGAGAGTGGCCGATGGGAAACTCAGGATGTCATCTCAGAACAAGGCTGCCACAGACACAAAACCCAGCTGGCAGGCCAGGGTGCACAGGTGGTGGGAGGTCACTGAAGGTGTGTGTGTGGGGGGGAACGCCCTGGCCGTCCAGGGTGACTGCTCACAGCAGCACAGAGGGTGGTGTGGGAGGCAGGACATGGACGCTCGCCGCATCCAGGCAAGAAAGGACAGCTGGGAGCTGGGGAGGTTGCTGGGGTCGTCACATGGTGTGACAAGGGGTATATGGCCACGGAGACCTCACCAGGTGACCAAATTCTAGAAACGTAGGGTCAGGGTGCCTGGGAGTGCTCCAGAGAGCTGCCAACCTGACGCAGCTGAAGTCGGAGTGAGAAGACCCGGGGGTGCGCTCATTGGCCCAGAGGGCGTCTGGGGGAGAAAAAGGATCAGGCAAGAGCCAAGGGAGGGTTTCTCGGAGGTCCTCAAGCATGGCCAGTCCGGGACCAGTATGGCCGAGGGGTGAGGAGGGCAGAATCCAGCCTGCCACACAGCGGGCGGGGGCCAAGGGGCGTGGGCCGCAAGCACACGCCCGAGCTTATGGTTTCAGTGGTGGCCAGAGGCGCATCAGAGTCGGAGGAGCGTTTCCTTTGGGAGGGAAGCAAGGGTTTGGTGCATGGGGGGTGGGGGGAGAGCGGCAAGGAAGGAGGGGGTGGGGGCGCAGGCAGGTCCCCAGGAAGAAGCTCCTCCAGTCGGTCGGTCGGCACAGGGGTGATGGCTGGCCCTGGAGGGGAGTGGCAGCGCGGCGCTGAAGCCACTTCTCGTCAAAAAGCAGGCTTCCCCCACCTAATTCTGAACGTTGATGAGAAAGATCATCCTCGCTTCAGACTGTCGCTCAGGGGCGTCTGGATCTGCCGCCCCCTCTGGGATCAGCCAGCCCCCTCTGGGATCAGCCCGCCCCGTTTCGCCCACGTCTCCAACTAGACGTGGCCCGGCTCAGGGTGGAGGTAAGGTCCGGGCTCGGATAAGCCTGGGGGACCCGGGGCTTCTCTGGATGCGGCTGCCCGTCTCTGAGGTGTAGGGGAGTGATGCTGTCCCTCCTTGGCTGGTGCCCCCAGGGCCCTGACTGGCAGGGGGGCCCAGCATGCCCGATAGTTTAGTGGCTCAGATCTGGGCGCGCGCCTGTCCGAGGGCTCTGAAGGACGGTGAGTGGGTCATAAGCAGGCTGACCGGGGACCAGGCAGGTTGGCACACTCTGGCCTCAGCCACGGAAGCGTCAGCGTCCAGACCCAGGCAGGGTTCTCTGTGGCTCCCCGCCATCCGGGGCACTGGCTCACGGCGGGAAGGAGCAGCTGCTGGCCAGGGGTGGGCAGCCCGTGTACTCGCCCAGGCCGGGATGGTCCAAGTCCCCACGGTTTGTGTGCGCGGGGAGGCCAGGTGCCTGGCCGCTGGGGGGTCCGGTCGTTCTCACGCACACACAGTGGGGCTCCTTGGCTCCTGGCTTGTACAGCTTCCGGGGGACCCCGACCCAGTCTCTGCTCACGCCTCCGCTGAGGACAGAACAGAGATGACGGCTTAGCAGCAGGAACTCCTGAGTCTCTGGGGGTAGAGAGCAGGGGAGGCCACCTGGCGTTTTCCCAAGGCGGGGGTCTGCGGCGTGCGTCCCCTGACCTTCCGGCTCTCCTGACTTCCTCCAGTGTCCCCTGCCGTGGGCAGAGTCCACCACCCTGTCCTGGCGCTCCCGGGCCCTGCCCTGCACCTTCCCAGGCCCCACACTGCTAACCCCCGGGGAATGCTCGCCCCCGCTGGCCTGTGAGCGGCACCCTAGTGCCTCTCACCCTCCCTCCCTCCCCCTCCCTCCACACCCATTCCCTGTCTGAACTCAGGCCTCCTTTGTCGCTTCTGCAGGGAGGTAAAACGACAGACGGGGCTAAGGCAGAGGGACAGGGTGGGCTCACTGGGGCAGGGACAGCAGTGACGCCGGAGGGGGCCACCGAGCCTGACAGACAGGCCCTCCGGTGGGCAGGCCAGCTTCCTTGAGCCCCTCTGTGTGGAGAGCAGGCCCTGTCTCTTCAGAACTGGAGAGCAGCTTTCCTCCCGACCCTTCGGGCCTGCTCCCTGCGCCACGGTGGAGGAAGCGGGACAGATACAGGCCTGGCCTGGGGAGAGACGGCAGCTCCGGCTGTTGGCTCTTGTCGCACAAGGGATCCGCCTCCAGGAGGGCAAGGGGGGCTCCGCATGGATGTGCACAGCTTACACCTCAGGGAGGCGCTTCCCGGCCCTTCTGGGGGAGAGCTGGGCTCGCACTCAAGGCCCTTCAAGCTTGCTGTGTGGGCCAGGGGGCCGGGGTCCGTCTTATGGGGAGTTAAGGGGCCTGAGGGCCTGAGGATTTGGGCAGAAAACACTGGTTTCTCCTTCAGCTCCCCAAGCCTGGACTAATCCCTGGGGCATTTGCCCTGACTGGGCTCCGCTCGCCGATCTCTGTGGGAAAGGGCTTCTCGGAGACACTCGGCAGTTGCCATGTTTCCAGAACAGGGCTCGGGGCATCAAGCCATGGCCAGCCCCGCCTCCTTGTCCCCATGTGCCAAAGGCAGCCCTGATTTGTGTGGACCAGGAGCGACAGAGGCCTTAGGTGGGTCTCCAGGCCAAAGTGAGCCTTTCTACTTGGACCTTCTCATCCCCAGGCCGGGTTTCTGGGCAGTTCAAGCAAACCACACACACACACCTGGGTCCCCCCGCAACCTCCCCTGGTTGTCAGGGACCCCAGAAGCCTCAGACACCAAGGCACTGTTGAGACCCGCTCCCCAGAGCACCTGTGCTCTGGAAGAGCCCGCCTGGGTGGGCAGCCGGGCTACAGCGTCACCGAGCTGGACAGGATGAGTCACACAGGTGCCTGCGTACCTCTCCGGGGAGCACCAGAGCCGGCCGCCCCTCCTGGAGCTCCACTCAGCATTGCACGGTGGGAATATCTGCTTCTCCTCCAGCGCCCGTCGGCCCGCCTCTGCGCCTTGGGAGATCATGGCCTCCACGCGGCTCAGTGCGGGGGTGGGGAGGCCGTCCTCTCCGTAGAACCTTCCTGTCACCCTTCCTGCAAGGACGGAAGAGCCAAGCTCAGGGTCGAGGAGCGACGGACACAGCACCTCGCCCCCACAGTGAAGCCCAAGCTCCCAGGGTTTCGGGCTCCGGACTGAGAACTCTCGATGTCTGACAAGACCCCGCAGAGATGGGCCTCCAGGCGCGGGCTCCCCTACATGGGGGCCGCCGACCCTTCCCATGTGCAGATGGCGCTTTCCCGGGGGCAGAGCCGCACGTGACTCCTTCCTCGGTGCTCCACGGTGCTGGAGGCACGCGGGACGTGTTGCATCAACACACAAGGGACGGGCTCCTTGCGTCCAGGGCTCTGCTCACCCACCGTCCACTCCGACAGGCCTCTCTGGGGTCGGCTCTAAAGGGGCCACAAGGCACCCCCACAACACTACTCAGTCCGTTTTACTTACACACAGCCCTATCTGGAATTGTGTGGCTGGTTTACTTGTTCACGAGTCTATCCCCCATCCCCAGCAAGGCCCCAGCATTCAAAACAGCCCAGTGCAGAGCACTCGTGTTCCGTGCTTGTTAGGCCACACGGGGGGATCAGGGCGCTAGCCGCAGCCTGTAGCCCGAATCGGTCTTGCGGAAACCTCTCCCCCGGAGGATCTCTGTGTGCCTGGCGACAAAACCGTCGTGCTAGGTTTTAGCCATGAGACCCACAGAGAGGCAGGAGTCCTAGAGGCAACAGAGAAAGAGCTGGAGAAGCCGTGTCCTGAGAACGGGGTCACCACTGGCGAGGGCTCCCAGCCAACACTGTATCCAGAACACAGAGACTCATCTGCCTCCCATGTGCCTGAGGCTGGGCCCCGGCTGCCGAGTCGCCCTCCGTCCTCACCGTCGTGTGTGCAGGTAGTAAGCTCCCTCCCCTGACGGGGCTCTTCCAGGCCCGAGCGATCCTGCCCCCACCCGCCTCCTGCAGAACGAGCCAACAGCTGTAGGACCCGCACTCAGCTCCTCCCGGGTCCGGTCCCCATCACTCATCCACGGCAGGCATTCAAGTACACGCCAGCCCTGGTCCGGAGCCCTCCCCTGACCGCCTGCCTGCATGCACGCTAACCCTGGCCAACCACGGCAGAGCTCCCCAAACTCCAGGATGACACACCTGGTCGGGCCACCTGTGCCCACTCTCAGGGCTCTACTCTTACTCTCTGTGTTAGGAGGCCCTTTCCTTACTAACCTGGCAGTACTGCAAGCAACCTCCCGGGGAAAAGGGAGAAACCAGCCTCCTGGAGGTCCCCAAAGTGCCCAGTCCCTCCAGTGCACACGTGGCTGTGGCTACATGAATGACCTGGGACAGCCGGCTGGAAACACAGAAGGGGATATGCAGGCCGGGAGGACAGGAGCCAACCGAGTGTGTGTGCTGGGGGACTGGACACACAGAGGACCATGCAAGTTCCGGGCAGCTGGATGTGGAGGGAGCAGAGTAGCTGTGTGAAGGCCAAGGTTCTCAGAAATGGAGCCCAGGTGGTCAAGACACAGCAGCTGTCAGAGGCATTAGGGGCAGAGGAAGAACATGTCCCACTGAGACCGCGGGGCTGGTGAGGGCACTGACGTTCCCCAAGAAGTCAGCTGCGACCACCTGGGCTCCAGAGAGGGAAGAGGGCCCAACAGCCCGATTTTCAGTGTTGACAAAGCACTCTAGTGTTTAGACTCTAACATGTCTTTATGTCTTTAGGACACTGTGAGGTGTCTGTTTTGAACGTGACCCTGTCCTTGCTTGCTCCTTGCTGGTGACCCACGTAGTGCTGGGCACAACTGGCTCAACGAATGTTTGGGAGGCAGCTCCTTCGGGATGGACGCAGACTTAAGGCTGGGCTCCTGACAGGGCTAAATAAAACTGTGTTTGTCAAAACTGCCCACAAATGTAGGCTTCAAGCCTTCCTGACTGGGTGCGGCGGAAGCCCGATGCCTGGGGCCCAGCCAGGCTCCCGGAGCTGGTTGTCTGAGATGCTGCAGGCAACCCCTGGCCAGAGGCCAAAGAGGCCAAGGCAAACGGCCGGGCCATCTTCTCCCAAGATCACGAGGGAGGGAAACAAGTGTCCTAGACACTGCCTAGTGTAGACTCATGGCCACACTAACAACCAGAGTTTAAGGGGAAAATGCCATGGGTATTGTGTGGATTTTAAACCTTGGTCCAATCTCCAAAGAACTCTAAGTCTTTTTAAAAACTGCAGAACGGGGCACCTGGGTGGCTCAGTCATTCGTTGAACATCTTCCTTCATCTCAGGTCATGATCCCAGGGTCCTGGGATCGAGCCCGTATCAGGCTCCCTGCTCCACGGGAAGCCTGCTTCCTCCTCTCCTACTCCCCTACTTGTGTTCCCTCTCTGACTGTGTCTCTCTGTCAAATAAATACAATCCTTAAAAAACAAAACAAAACAAAAAAAACTGTGAGACAACTGAATGGAATCTATGGAAATGACCCGTGGGATTACCTACCAACAAATTTGTAATTCTTCTCGTAGAATGAAAGCCAATTTTGAAGGACCAGCACCTCCGAAAACGACAAGTCAGCTACGTCATCCACCAGGCCCGCTTCGGAGTAGTCCCCAGTCACAAACGCCCTGGACGCGTCTCGGCCTGCAGGGGACAGGTTTCCAAACAGATGACCCTGTTGGTCACAGGCACCGTACCAACTCAAGAGCCCATCTTCTGAGAAACATGGGGGATCCCGTATTCCTGATCTCCAAAAACAGCTACCCCCCCCCTTGCTGGCGCAGATGCTCCTGGATCTGCAACACGCTGTGGCGCTTACCCCTGGCGTCGTGTCTGCTCAGCAGTGCTTGGCACAGCTGATCGTGCCCACTTCCATGACACGACGCTCCTGGCCTCTCCCCCTCCCTCATGGGCTTGTCTTCCACCAGCTTTCGGGCTCGGTTCTTGCCCACCTCCTCTGCTCTAACTGCACACCACCCCCCGCCCCCGACAATCTCCTGTGGTTCCAAAACCACCTCTAGGCCAGCGGTCGCCAGGTTGGTATCTTTGGCTCAGACTTCTGAGCTCCAGAGTGGTACATCCCATCATCTAGTAAGCATCACCTAGATGTTCCACAAACATCCCAAGTTCAAAATGTCCACCCTCCACTAATCAGCACCCCAGCCCCAGGAAACCTGCATGTCTTCTAGAATTTCATAGCTCAGGAACTATCAACCAGATACTCAGTCCAGAAATGCAGTCTGCAACAGGGACACCTCCTTTAGCCCTCAAGTCCCAGCAGTCCCCGAGTCCTTCAATTTCCTAAGTAGCCGCATCAGTCTGCCTTTCCGCATCTGCCACGAAGCAGGCCCAGCCTGCCACTGTCCCTCATCCAAACTACTACAGTAAACCCTAGCGTCTCCCCGTACGCTCTTTCCATACAACATGGAGACTGGTATTTTAAATGTGAACTGATGTCATTCTCTTGCTGAAAAATCCTCAGTGCCTTCTTCTTCTGGCGCTGGAATGATGTCCAGATCCCTCAGCGGGCTACTCAGGGCCCTATGGCACTGGCCGGCAGCCTTGCCTTGCCACAAGTCAAGGGGGACAGAGTGTCACCTGAAAAATGTCGATGTGCCATCTGGCGTGCCTTGAGCTTCCCTACTGAGCTTAAACCCAAGGTCACTTGATAGAATGGAGCGCTGAGTCCATTCAGAAGTTCCAAATTGTCCCCATTTCAAAATGTCTGAGCATCTCAGTATGTCCTACAGAAATGGGGCCCTTGAACACTACGCAGCAAGGAGAACTCTTAAAATGATGGCGTCTAGGGCCAAGAATGATGACAGCCATTTACGGCCAATAGCCAAGAGCTAATACTGGCTTTGTGACTCAGCAAGCACCGGACAGACGCATGTGCGGCTAGTGGCGGCACAGGGCTTATAGTGAGGTCCTGCCAAGGTACTGTGATCTGAGTGATTACAGCAGAAATGCCAGCCAATTCTTTTGGGTTGGAAAAAAAATTTATCTAAAATCTGTATTTTCATTAAAAATATGTATTTTTTACAGTTAGGAAAATCTTTTACTTAGTGCTTACTCAGATTTACATAGCTAATAAAAAAGATATTCCCTGACAGCTGGAAAAATGGGTCAGTGATAATATTAACCACACGCTGTGCTCCTCTTCCTCTCCCTCTACTCTTACGTTAGGGCCTCCAGTAACTCAAGTATTTCTTCCTCCTAACACCTGTCACACAAAAATACTTCATCAACTGTTGATGTAATAACTATCCACTGTCGGCCTTTTCTACTGGTCTGCAAGTTTTATCATGGCAGAGAACACACCGACGCAGGACTGATTCCCCGGTGTCTGGCGGTACCTCCTCTTTAGTAATTGTCAGTGAGCACCGGCTGAATGAAATCCATGCACTGACAGTTTTCAGTACGTCCATTCTCACTAATTACTTTCAATAATTCAAACGGGGAAAGAATAGTGTTTCCAACCAATGGTGCTTGGAGAACTGGATAGTGACATGCAGAGAATGAAAACAGACCCGCACCTCACAACATATATAAAATTAACTCCAAACAGATCAATGACATGAATGTATGAGCTCAACCTGTAAAACCCTTGGAAGAAAACACAGGTGTAAATGTTTGTGCCCTTCGGTTAGGTGATGGTTTCTTAGCTAGGACACCAAAAACACAAGCTAACAAAGAAAAAAAATAAACTCGACCAAAATTTTTAAATTTTGTGCATTAAAGCACACTATAAAGAAAGTGAAAAGATAACCTACGGCAGGGGAGAAAATATTCACAAACCAGGGATCTGGTCAAGGTCAGTATCCAGAGTATATAAAGAACTCTCACAGCTCAATGATAAAAAGACAACCCAATTAAAAAGCGGAAAAGGGGGACGCCTGGGTGGCTCAGTGGGTTAAGCCGCTGCCTTCGGCTAAGGTCATGATCCTAGGGTCCTGGGATGGAGTCCCGTATCGGGCTCCTTGCTCAGCAGGGAGCCTGCCTCTCTCTCTCCGCCTCTGCCTGCCTCTCTGCCTGCTTGTGTGCTTTCTCTCTCTCTCTTTCTGACAAATAAATAAATAAAATCTTTAAAAAAAAAAAAAAAAGCGGAAAAGGATTTGAACAGACATCTCTTCACGGACGACACACAAATGTAGTCCGTGAACAGAATCTCTTCACGGACGACACACAAGCACATCAAAAGATGCTCCAGGTCACAGTTATTAGGGAACTGCAATAGTAGAAACCACAATGGGCTACCACCGCAGCAAACCCATTAAACGATATAATCGAAAAGACGGCCAGTTTGGCAAGAATGTGGAGAAACTGGAACTCTACTACACTGATGGTGGGAGTACAGCCACTTGAGGAAGTAATTCGGCAGCGTCTCAAAAAGCGAAACACAAGAGTTGCTACATGAGAACTGCAAACACGCGTCCAAACAGGAATGTGCACACAGATGTTCACAGCAGTGTTTTCATAGCAGGCGAAAAATGGAAATAACCCAGATGTTCAGCAAATGGTGATGAAATATACAAAACGTGGCATATGCATCCAACGGAACATGACCTGGCCACAAAGCGGAGCGCAGGACTGACTGGTGACGATACAGCCGGAATGAACTTTGCAAACGCCGCTTAGCGCAGGAAGCCAGACACGCATGTGACTCTCCCAACAGGCAGATCATCACGTCAGAGGGAAGCAGGCAGTGCTTGCCAGGGGCTGGGGGTCGGGGCAGGGGTCAGAGGGACCGGGCAGTGTCTGGTGACGGATACAGGGTTTCTTTCAGGGGTGACAGAAACTCGTGGAATTAGATGGGGTTGATGTTTGCACAACCTTCGGAATACACGGGAGACGTACGGAATTACATGCTTTAAAAGGGTGGGTTTTACGTTGTGTGAATTACACCGTAACAATGACACCGACACTGGAGGCTGGAATGCACCTCTCTGCCTCCCTGCTGGGCTGTGCGGGTGGTGGGAGCATGGTCTTCCGGACACTCAGCGCCTGGCCCAAGGCGGGCGGTGGCGGGGTCAGGGCGTGGATGCGGAGTGAACGACGGGCAAACTCGGCAGACACTAGAGTGTGGCGCGAAGAGCAGCAACCCCGGGAATGAAAGGGCTCCCACTCCCGCTTGTGCACCCTGCCACGCAGCTGCAACTGGCCCTGACAGGGTTGTGTGGTGGCCCCACAGACCGCCGTCAGCCTGCAGGGGAGCGAGCCTGACCCCAGGCCCAGCTCCCCGCTAGATCAGTGAGATCGGGTCAGTTCCTTCCTTGCTGGGCCGCTTGAGGAGTTTGGCAACGTGGGCTGACCTGAATTCCTTCTCTGTCCAAGTTCTCCCTGGAGCTGGGGCGTGCCTCGTATTTAGGGGACAGAGGCAGCATCCCAACACCAGCCGCCACACCTGTCTGTTCCTTTTCAAACCCCACCCCGGCTGGTGGTCCCAGTCCAGAGCCTGTCAGCGAATCAGCTCCGACGCCCGGGGCCACAGGACACGGACAGGAGACCTTCCACCGACCAGCGCCCCGGGCCTGCCACGCGCGCAGCTTCCCGGATCTGAGCGCCTGCAAGGCCAACCAGTCCATCTCTGGCTCCGGCCCCAGCATCTCCAGCGGACACGAGAGCGTCCGTCCTAGAGCAAGGACGAGTCCCACCCAGGGCACCGTTTTTGGGGAGACCTGGGGAACGCTAAAGGAAGGTGACTTGGGACAGACACATCCTCGAGAGACGACTGGGGTCGGGAGCGGGCCTCGGAGGGCGGGGACGCGGCGTCCTTCCCGGCGGCGCCCGAGCACCGCGGGGCGGCCCCAGCTGCAGGCGGGAGGCCCGTCTCTCCAGCCGACGTCGCGGAGGGCGCTCGGGAAAGGCAGGGCGGGGCGCGCCGGGCTCGCGAGAGACGCCGGAGGGCCCGAGCCGCGGAGCGGGGGCCCCGTCAGCCCGAGGGCCGGCCCGCTGGTACCTGCGAAACCGCTATAGTGGGCCCCAGGCTCGTAGTGCCTCCGGCCGGAGGACACGTCGTAGACGCGGCCCAGCAACGCCAGGTAGAGGCCCGGGTCCCCGGGGCCGCCGCGGTAGCGGGCCAGCTCCTCGGGGACGAAGAGGCGAAGGCCCGCGCGGCCGCTCCACCAGCCCAGCCACCGGGCCGCCGCCGCCGCCGCCGCAACCGCCGCGGCCAGGCCCAGCAAGAGCCCACGCCCGCCGCGCCGCAGCATTCGCACGGCAGGCGGCCTCCGCGCCAGCCACGGCCAAGACGGCAGCGACGCAGGCGTGACGTCCCCGGCCGACGTCCCCGGCGCGACGACCTCGCGCCCCCCAGGGGACAAGGGGGGACTGAAGGGACACCGGCTTGGAAGAAAGACCACTCTCCGGCTCCACTCCCTGGCTTCGCTATTTTTCAGCGTAGGGAGTGAACGTGGAGAGACACGGACTCTGCGACCGGCGAAGGCCCAGCCACGCCTGTTCCCGCCCCCAACAAAGATGGCGGCACAGGAGGCGGCCGGATGACGTAGACGTTAGGACCGACTGGCCCTCTGGGAACTCGGAGTCCCACCCGCCGTCGCAGCCCTCCTACCTCGCTGTCTTACGGCGTCTGCCTGAGTCCGCCTGACGGCGCCTTTGCGACGGCAGTCCTCGCTTGACGGAGAGGAAACCGGAAGTCGCCGCCGCCGTCGTCCCCTCCCCGTCCCCGCCCGCCGGGTGCCGCCGGAGGTTGACAGGTCGAGGCGGGGAGGCGGCGGCGGCGGCACAGCCGGACGCCCGACACGGAGACTCCATGGGGAACGCTCCAAGTCACAGCAGTGAAGACGAAGCGGCTGCCGCCGGGGGCGAGGGCTGGGGCCCGCACCAGAGCTGGGCGGCCGACTCGGGCACGGTCGCCGGCTCGGGCCCCGCGGCTCCGGCGCTGCCTCCCGCCGCGGCGCTGCTGGAACCGGCCCGACTGCGAGAGGCGGCGGCGGCGCTGCGGCCCGCGCCGCCCTGCGAGTCTCTGGTGTCCAGGCACCACGGCGCGCTGCTGCGCTGGCTGGAGGAGCGGCTGGGCCGCGGCGAGGAGTCCGTCACCCTGGAGCAGTTCCGGGAGCTGCTGGAGGCTCGCGGCGCCGGCTGCTCGGGCGAGCAGTTCGAGGAGGTGAGGACCGGCCGGCGACGGCGGGGCGGGGCGGTGGCTCTCGACGGGCCGGGCGGGACCCGCGGGCTCTGAGGGCCGGAGCTTGCGGCGCTCGCGTCCTCTACTCCGCGGGACACGGCTGCGAGTCTCTACGCTCTCCTGGGGGTGCAGAAAGCCTAGACGGGGCCGTCCTTGGTTTGGGGAACTCGACAAGCCCAGGAGTCTTCGCAGGTCGTTGCAGTGCCGACGTTTGTGCTGCTGCCCGACGCGGCCCAGCGGCCCGCGGGATCTTCCTTACCGGGCTCCGGGACGGAGGCCTAGGGATCGAGGGAGTGGAGGTGGAAGCCACTGTGTTGTACTGGCCGGGGGATTTTCCAGAGCGCCCCCTGAATCCTGCGTGGGCGCCCAGCGAGCGTGGGAGCAGGACGACAGGGCCTGGAGAGCTCGCCTTCTGAAACCCATTCTCACTACCCCAAAACTCCCATTTCCAAAGTACACACTTGTTTTTGGGTAGTCCAGGAGCCGTGTTTTAGACTCATGGAAACCTCCATGTAACCTGAAGCTGACGGGCAGGTGTCTCGCTTCCCGCCAGGACTTGTGATGACCGAGTTTTGGGCATAGTCACCAACATAATCTCTGTTGCATCATGAGCAGCAAATTGATATGGAAACAAAATACTCTTTTCTCAGAAGGGATGTTAGGAATTATTTGTACCCTTCATTTTACAGTAAAAAGAGAACTGCTCCAGGGTCTCCCACTGACTCGTTGGCAGCCGGAGCCCTAGCACTCAGCTCTCTTGGTTTGTTTGCTTCTTTGTCTTAGGTCCTGTCGCCTCCTTCTTGGAAACCCATTTCTTTAACTCCACAGTGTTATAGCAAATAGATGCTTAATTTGTGGAAGTGAGTAAGCCATGTAGAATCTTCAGCATCCGTGATGGGTGAATGACAGGTGCTTGTAATGCCATTAGAAAGTGATGTGCGCTTTACAAACAGAGGCTTTTAAAATATTTTAAGAACATTTTCCTGCATATAGTCAGAATTTAGGTAATAGGGTTTGTATGTTTCTTATATTTTCTTTAAAAAGATACCGGTAAGACATCCCAGTTCTTGAAAATGGGGTCATACTCGTTAGCGAAGGGTCTCCATATGTATTTTTTCTTAATTCCAAGAGTCCGTGTAATACTTTCGTCTCTAGCTCTACATGTATTGAGAGAAAATGAAGTTGTGCTGGGAAGAGCTGTGTAGATCTGTTGAAGGAGTTGGCACATTTCAGAATTGTCCAGAAGGCAATGGAGGGAAACAGTATTTACATTGGAAATGTCTGACAGAAATAAAGCAGAGTTGACAGGAGTCCCATAATGTAAGGCCAAGAGTCCGTTTTAACAGTGTTTTATTTATTCACTTAGAGAGAGAGGGAGAGTGAGAGAGCACAAGCAGAGGGAGAAGCAGACTCCCCTCTGAGCAGGGAGACCTATGCAGGGCTCAATCCTGGGACCCTGAGATCATGATCTGAGCCAGAGTCAGACACTTAACCCACTGAGCCACCCAGGCGCCCAAGGCCAAGAAGTCCTTAAGGTGTGGTCCAGAAATCATGCAGGGGCTATGATATTGTTCATTGAGCAAATATTTGTTGGGCACACACTGAGTACCAGGCACTTGGATGACAGTGGACAAAGCAGAGTCTTGCTCTTAAACGGTGTGTTGTACTGAAGGGGACTCACGCGAACCCAGCAGTTATAGACGTAGTGAGTATCAGCCAAAGGAAGGTGTAAGGAAAATTATACCAAGAGTATTTAACCTCATCTAGGAAGTCAAGGGAGACTTACCTGGAAAGTCGCATTTCAGCTCAGATCCGAAGGGTGATAGATAACACGGGAGGAGCAGAGGGTTAGCGGGGAGAGAAAATCCCATGCACACGTCCAAGTCCAGAGAGTGGAGAATCTGGAAGAAAGGTGTGATGTATTAGGCTTAGACAAAACTGCTGCAAGGGACAGAAAGGTCAGTGCATCAGTGGTTTAAATGGTAAACAAGCTTGGGGTGCCTGCCTTCAGCTCGGGTTGTGATCCCAGGATCCTGCTCAGCGGAGGAGCCTCCTTCTCTCTCTCCCATTCCTCCTGCTTGTGTTCCCTCTCTCACTATTTCTCTCTGTCAAATAAATAAATAAAATTTAAAAAAATAGTAAACCAGCTTCTGGGCGCCTGGGGGGCTCAGTTGGTTAAGCGACTGCCTTCAGCTCGGGTCATGATCCCAGTGTCCTTCTCCCTCTCAATGTGCCTGCCTCTCCACCTGCCTATGCTCTCTCTCTGTCAGGTAAATCAATAAAATCTTCAGAAGAAATAGTAAACCAGCTTCTTATGAAAAAGTCCAGGTGGGCAGTCCAGGTTTGACGTGGCCCTTTCAGTCATTCCCCTGGGGACCTGGCTCCATCCTTCTTGTGCTGTCCTCCTCCACAGGCGCCTTCCACAGAGTGACCAGAGTGATTCCTTCAGCTGTCGCTTTGTGCATTACAGCCTCAGGAGAAGGAAATGGGAGGAGAGGGCCATACTGCCTTTCTTAAGGGCAGAGCTCACCTCCTGTTGGCTCAAGCCCAGCCACAGGGCCCCACTGAGCTGCAAGGGAGGCAGGGAATGACTTTTATTTCATGGCCATGGATTTAGCTGAAGAACGAGGACGTGATTACTGAGAAAGAGGAGAACAGATACCTGGTTCCCATTAGTGGTGTGACACACGTGGCTAGACCCCGGAACGCAAAGGAAGAGAGCGAAGCTGGAGGAGTGGGCAGGAGTCAGGTCCTGGGGAGGCCTTTGCAGCCTCTGTCATCTAGGAGTTTGCAAACTGGAGCTTTAAGCCAGATCCATGGTGCTGTGGCTGCCTTTCAGGGAGCTGGTTGGAGAGGGGTTAGCGGGGTCCAAGCAGGTCAGTTAGGAAGCTATTATGATAGTTCAGGTAAGAGACTGGGTGGGCTTGGGCTGGGGTGGTGGCAGCTAAAATGGCACCAACAATTTTTTTTAAGATTTTATTTTTTAATTTGACAGATCGCAAGTAGGCAGAGAGGCAGGCAGAGAGAGAGGGGGAGGCAGGCTCCGCACCTAGCAGAGAGCCTGATGCAAGGCTCGATCCCAGGACCCCGGGATCATGACCTGAGCCGGAGGTAGAGGCCTTAACCCATTGAGCCACCCAGGCGCCCTGGCACCAACAATTTTGAGAGTGATTTAGGAAGTAAAATAAGCGGTCCTTGAGACTTATGTGTGAGTAGAGAATTAGAAGGGGAAAGGAATTCAGGATGGCTCCAACATTACTGGAAAGGTGATAGGGCTGTTTATTGAGAATAGAAACTTTTTTAGGCAGGGAAGATCTGGAGAGACCAGATGAGTTTGGTTTGGCTATGCTGAGCTTAATGTGTCCATGGGCAGCAATGTGGAGGTGTCGCAGACTGGGAGTCCGAGAGAACACTGCTTGAGATACAGTCATCTGTTCTCTGGGGTTCCGTGAGAAAGTAGCCCATCGGTTCCTCCCACTGTGAAGTGTGTGTGTGTGCTCCGTGAGAACCTGAGTCCCTTAGAGCTAGTCTGTGGACTGTTGAACATCGTTAAATCCGAGGTTGTGCAGCCACCGTGACTAAAGAGATAGGTGGGAAGAAAAACCCGAGTGGTTGTCCCTTCCCCGCTGTGAAACACAGAGTCATCGTAGTCACACGTGTGGCAGAAACAAACCTTAAGGACTCAGAAGCCCAGCAGTAAGACCTGGTGACTTGGGAAATGTTGCAAGGTCGTATTTTCCTTCTGTAAAAATCCCTGGGGCCACCTAGAGCTGTGTCATAGGGTCTTAAGTACCCATACACTGAACTCACGAAATACATGCTGGGAGTTTCCTTCACACCTGCAGGGCTGTCTCCCGTCACTCTCTACAGTGTGTGCGGAGACTTGGTGTCTAGTGATTCGGGCCAGCTGTGCAAGGCTGTTGGGTGACCCCAGCCCCACAGTGAGGATGAGACTGAAGGCCCTGTAGGGTTCAGGGACTCAAGTAGGATGGGAAAGTGAGTTCTGGTGCCAACACTCTAGTGGAGTCCTCTGACTCCAGGCCTTCCTCCTCTAGGGACCTGGTTCTCTGGGATTCTTTTTACTTAGTCTCACTTTTTTTTTTTTTTTTTGGTCTCAATTCTTTAATTTTCCTCTGCATGCTAAGGGAGACCTTGCAAGAATAATTCCAGTTTGAGAAAAAGCATTGTGTATTTTTCTTGAAGCCTGTTCCCCTTTAGTAGATCTGGTGTGGAGGACGGTTAGGGGTATGGCCTAGTACTAAAGTCTGGTGACCTGCCCTTGCTGCTGGTTAGC